CGGGCGGGAGCACGCACGGGTGGTGGGGACGCAGGTCGCAGGGGACGGGCCAATGGGCGGGCGAGTAAATCGAGCGAGGGCTGGCTGGACCACGCACTAGGGTATAGAATCCAGCCAATCCTTGAGCTGGAACCGTATTTTGTTGTTCAAGATCCCTTCGGAATGCTACCTCGTCTCTTACATCAATGGCAAACTAATGTGTCGTACAACTTGCACGGTCTCGAACTTCCCCTTATATGGAAAGGCATAGGGGGAGCTGTGAACTGTCTTCGAGTTCTCGATAAAAACACAACAGCCCAGGTCCTTCATCCAGATATGGCGTCGACAAGCAAGGAGAACGATTCATTTAAAGAGGATACTCAGATCGTGGAATGTTTCTCATAAGGTTATCTCTCAACTACAAGGAGATGTGCAAGGACCCGGAGAAATACTGCCCACCCTCTACGGAACAGCCAAGCAAAACAACTGTTCTCGACTGCATCCTGGCTGCCTACCATGGTGACCCTCGTATATCAAATGATATACAAGGACGCTGTAACAGGATCTCGGGTCTCTATGCCAAACGGGGGAACTGGTGGTGGAAGTCATGTAAAAACGACCAAATTGATGCTCTCGCTGACTTATCCTTAAAATCTCGTCCTGGGACCGTTCGCGTGCTCCGCCCACTGGAATCGGCGGTAAAATCCATCATGCTTGGAGATGTTACCGATAACCTTCAGTGAGCTATTTCAAGTAATAATCTTCTCAGAGAAGATAAACTCACCAGCGCCCAAGAAGAGGACCAGGAAGCCTTGGCAAATCAGAAAATTGGAAATACCTGGACTGTGAAGGACACTAAATGTATTGTAGACAAGAAAATGACCGAGTTTCTCGCTTTTCTAGATAAAAAGTTAAACAAGTAACTATTCAAGACTAAATACATAGGAAATAGGGGTCGATTAGAATAACAAAATATGGCGATATAAAGGTGTAGCATAACTCCAAACAGTTGGCAGAGCGAGCGCTCACTGTGTTGAACAGCAATAGCGGTTTATATAGTTTGACAATATATACCTCAACGGCTCTTACAAAACATCTCTCTGCGGGACCATAGACTCTAGTAATTTTAAACGGCTGTTGGATGCGTTGAAGACCACCATTAGAGGTTCGATGAAGGGATCTGCTGCGTCATGCAATGGATGCCGCCACCATTGACTGCAATCTCATTGAGGTAGACCTGGACAACCTCTCGCTCGGGGAAGAGGGTTTGAAGTATGTCCTTGGCCTTTGTGTCTGATTTACCACTTCCAAATCTTGGGGCGATGACGGCACCATTCACAAGCAGATAGTTGACATAGCCCAGTACCATATCCGTTTCAGTTGTGTTTACATCATTGATATCGGCCTCGGGCAGGTCAACAATCTTGAAAGCCCGGTCCTTGGCGTCAGTGGCCTCAGATAAGATGTGCTTAATCTCATTATAAACTGTGGTCCACTCCTTATTATCCGGAGTAGGGCGACTCAAGACAACTTTTCCGGGAGCGACGAAGCGGGCCAAGGAATCGATGTGAGCATCGGTAATATCTTCATCTCTCACACCAGGGACCCAGATAATCTTTGACACTCCCCAAAGACGGTAGATTTCCTTCTCAATGGCCTCTCGACTCATGTCTGGGTTGCGGTTGGGATTGAGGATTGAACTCTCCGTTGCAATAACAGTTCCTTCTCCATCAGTTTCTAGAGCCCCCCCTTCGACAACAACCGATGTAGTCACACGGGGGATCTGATGATCATTGAGAAACCGGCGGGCCAGTTGTGAATTATTAATTGAAGGATATCTCCCTCCCCACCCATTAAAATTGAAATCAATCCCATGGAGGCTGGAAGGCGACTCCTTGCTGAAAACAAATGTTGGTGCAACGTCACGCATCCACGGCTCCAAGTCATCCATGTTCATGGCCTTGATTTCCACGCCATAATGGCTGTAGTTTTGAAATCTCCGCTGTGCGTCGGAGACCTGATCGGAGCCCACCAGTAAAGTCACTGGCTCGAAATCAGCGATCGCCTGGGCGATGGCTGTCAGCTCGTTCTTCATCTCTGCGAGGCTGCCATCTTCTTGGTAGTTTGGATTGTTGCTACCAGGCCAGGCCATGATCGTCCTCGCATGGGGTAGCCCTTCATCCGGCATAATGAAATCACTATCTGCGGCCATGGCGGCTCCAATTCCAAGGCAAATCTGAAAAAGGAACAAATGCATGAGGAGTAAAGTTGATCAAGGAATATATAGGCTGAGGTAAATGATAAGAGAGTAGATATGTAGACTGTAGAGAAACTTTACTGGTTTCGGTAACAAGATTGTTATAGGATAGTGCTGAGAATGGTTGATGGTATACGTGGGCTGCAGCACCCTTTTATGTCTGAATTGTATAGTATTATAAAAAATAATTTTTCCCCTCAACATGACGATCGCAATTTCTGCTGTGGGAAAGGTACGCAGTTGAAATAATTATAAATATATTTTATCGGAAGAGTCAGCGAGTAGAAATAATTATATAATATATATTGCTCGCGCCAAGCCTAGAGGCACGATGAGAATAGGCAGCAAGAATAGTGGATGTTCCACCACAATCTTGAAAAATCAAATCAGCATTTCTCAGCAGCCTCTACGGAACAGTGCCGTAGGTGTTATCACCCAGGCACCAGCATTCCTCTTCTTTCCGGCCCTTGCTAACAATAATCGATCTTCTATATGTACCACTATCTGGAGCATTGCCTGTTCTACAACTGGTGCCTTCAAACACAATAATCCTTTTCTCTTAAATCTACTATACTATGTATTAAAGCTCCCTTGTTGCTCTTGTGATATCCTTTATACATACAGTCTCTTGAATCTAGGCATGTCTGTGTAGTAGACACTGTGGACTAGTACGGTATCACTTTGTAGAAAGGAATTGCTACCAGTATATCTTGTGAGGGATAAATACTTCATGAACCTCAGTCAGTGATGGATGTTATTCATTCTTTCCTACTATCTCAATAAGCTCATTGTTGTCTTCAGGCGATGAAAAAAATACCTTTAGACGTCTCCCAACGCAAAACCCGCGTTATCATCACATTAATTTTGCTTAAGCAAGCACTAAATACGTGGACGCAATTCAATGTGTAGTCATGGCCGTCAGTACCACAGTCGTATGCGAGTTCGAAGCTGAGAACCGGGAAACCAGGAGCTGCTGATTTACTGGTTCTTCCACCCACATCAACAGACATGATACTAGGAACAGCCATGGATGGGAGAAACTGCCGGGAGGCAATCACTGAGCAAGAACAGTAACTGTAGTAATTTAAAACAGCGTAGTCGAGCACTGCAAAAAGTCACGGAAGAATGATCAAACTTCAAAATCAATAAAGAGCTTCTGGAGTCGTTCGGCTGATCAAGTGTTGTTTGCTTCCCAGATGATTTATATAGATCAGAACACAAACCCTGGCTAAGGAATCACAGGAAGGGACGTAACCAGTGACAATGAAGAACAGAAACCATTAAAAAATTGGACACCCGAAAAGTCCACCTAATCGGACTATAATCGATCAACTGAAGCTATTAGATGAGGACCTGACCGCGAGTCAAGCACTATGTTCACGACGCAGAGTCTCGTCAACGATTAGCAAGGACGGAGTGCAAGGGACATAGCAGGAAAGAGGGAATATATGGGATAGAACAAACAGCCAATTGTGTGATTGAGCAGAGACTAACATTAATATAAGAAAGAGGTAATCTGCCAGGATAGCAATGAGAAGAGTTCGCGATATATACCGAACGGATGGGCCTTGAGGAAAAAAGAAGATTGTACTGTATTGCCCAAGATATGCACGCCAATATATGGACACCTAAGTGGCATGTCCCATGGCTGAGGCATATTGCTTAGGATTTTAAGACCGCTAAAGGGCACAATTAAGATTGTTCCTGGGAAGTTAGACATGGGGAGGTCAACCGAAGTATGAATGGCTGTAGATGATAAACTGTGATGGTTAGTATGATGTTAGAGGAAGATAAATTCATAGATAGTGGTATAAATATCTAAGTTCAAGTTGCATCCCAAGACGATTCGAAGGAGCACGCTGTAAAAGCGACTAAGCAAAAGGGAAGGCGCAAAAGATTGAAAACCTAGAGTTGTATAAGGGCTGTTGAAAACGTGCTGTGAATAGTTTGCCATGGTGTATAGCTTCCGCATCCTTAATAGAGGGGGAGAAATAAATCAGTTCCTGGAGTGCGGATTACTGAGGCTGCTAAAGTTGTATCTCAGCTAACATGCATCGAATGAGATGACGTCACAGGAATAATTTGCCCACGAATCACTCCCTAATTGCCAGTTCCATGAGAAATCGATGAATAACCTGTAGTACGCTGAGCTAGGGGGCGTTTCCTATTCGTAGAGCACAGCCTAAGTATCAGAAGAGTCAGCTGATGGCAAGAAATATCAAGATAAAACGAGTGAACTCGATCCAGCCAAGTTCAAAACAGAATACAGGTAGTGTCAGAAGGATTCCCGAAATCAGGTGACAGGAAAGCCGTCAAAACACCTAGATAAGCATAGCTGAAGGACCTATTTGATTAACACGCAATAGTTGTCTCCATTCAAATGGAAATAACCGTCTGTGCTGGACAGCACTGCTATGTTGGGACACGGCTGTAGGTAGCCAGGCACCCACGGCAGACAGAGCTTATTAACAATGATACAAGCGCCGACAATCAAAGTTTATATGAAAAGTGAATAGACATGAGACCGAGATGCACCGTTTACGGACAAAAAGAAACAGAGACACTCGATAGTTATTCAGCGTATACAGTATCAATAGTCAGGCCCCGGGTTTGAGCAATTAAGCCTATGTCATGGGGAGGAATGAAGTAAGGAGTAACTAAAGGAGTAGGTTAGCCTCAAGTCTATTCCGCACGAGGGGTGATAGCTCCAAAAACTTGTTGAGAAGAAGACAAAAGACCACCCCATTTAGAAAGGCAATGCAAACTTGCTCAGATATTATATCAGCAATCACAGTCCCTACCATCGACATATATAAATGAGCAGGTACCAGGGCAAGTAACCCAAACTGACCAAGTATCTTTTTCGAGGCTGTAATACGATAGCTGGTAGGGTCGTTGATGAAGGGAGACCATAAATAACGAGTCGAACAATCATAGTGTCGGTAATTTGATCCTTCTGAATGGCTTTCCCCGTGGATTGGCATGTAGTATCATGTAGAAAGGAGTTGCGGACCCAATCATAATCGTTTTAGCTTTTCAGGGGGGATATATTCATTTCCCATGGACAGCCAAACAGAGGGTACAGCGGAGCGCAGTCAGGCAGCGCCTTCAGCGCATATTAGAATGATTGGGAAGAGGTCCAAGAAAATGATATCTGTAAGGGTCAGGCGTGACTAGAGACGCAGGTTAGCAACAAGGCCGAAGGATTTGGAGCGCAGCGATGACACGGAGAGCTCAATTTGTAGCGGCCATCAGCCACTCCATTAATAAGCCTCCACAGTTTGTCGTATTACCTGAATAAATACTGAAAGTTCAACACGATCTGGCAGAGACTCTGTTTAGAGTTAGTTAGCTCTTCACGGCTTATTCCGTACCGCCTATGCTCGTGATGGAGCCTTGATGTTTTGGGAAGGCAGAACAAATAGTAGTATCAGATTTGTTATCATTGTGATCTTCCTGCTAGATTTAGCTGGTTAGCCAGTATTGCAGATCCAATTATGGCTGCTTTAGCATTCTTCGCATCTCCAGGAGGGCGTACTTGGCTTCCCACTCCGGCAAACCTCCCCCTCCCGACAGCTCAGTTGACAGGCCAAGAGGCGATGTCAAGAAACAAATGTCCAGAAAAGAGAACAAGAAATTAATACAGTCGATGAAAGGCAAAGATTATACTCGTGAATTCATGCTCTTTTGGCCATATTTCTCTATTCACAGGCGGGTTACTAGACATATTCCACCCATCCCTCTGGGAACTGGACAGGCCCAGGGTTTGATGGTCTTTTTTCTATCAGGCTAATTGTGTATACCTCTTCTACACGACGCTACTGTAATCCACCCCCGTGCTTTGTTAAATAATGGGGGGCTAACACCGGATGGGGCGAAGGCACTGATTGCCGTAAATAGTTAAATCGCTATCTTCTTCCGGCTACGCTGCTGATAGCTTACATATTTTTGTTACCTGGCTGTCTTAGTACCCCATACATGCTGTTGAGCTCGCTGCCGATATTCATCGTTTGATGTACTGCCAAGATTCGTCATTTACCTGCAATACACACGCTGCGTGGACATGAATTAGGATGTGATGTTTAGGTACTCTACGACATTTACATTCGTTGTATAGACACGACGCTTAGGTACGATATTTAGATTCGTTGTTTAGCTTCGATGCTAAACTATGATATGCAGATACTTAGCATGGATACAATTCGTAATATATCAGACGCGCTTGTCACTTGTGGTCAGTCTTTCCTGGCTGCAGGGTCCATATCTGATACTCAGGTTCACGATTCGGAACTATTCACCGATTCAGCGAATTTGGACAGGCTCCGTTTTTTAAAAGTAGCAGCATATTACTATATCTACCAAGATGAGCAAACGCTAACTGAAGTATCAGTTAAGCTTCGGCACAGTATCATATTATGTCCCGGCCATTTTGTCGAAAGACATAAGTAGTCGACTTAGATACGTGGGGTGTGGAACACTAATATCAGAACGGCGCAAGCTGCTACTGGTTGACAACCAGAACATCCTGGGGCTTCTGGTCCTCTCTGGCATAATTTCTTAGCATCTTTTCGAATACAAATAAGTATAATTATTGTTCCATTCTACCCCAATTCACGAGTACATTTGCCAACTCAGAGATGGTTAATTTTCAAAACCCTTTACATAACTTAACTCGACTACTACCACCAGCCTGACCTACGTTACTTATACACTGGAGAAATCTTTTTGATGGAACTCAAATTTCATTCATATTTAGAGTTGGCATATTTCAGGAAATGAAAGATGATTTCCACCAAGAGTTTTCTATTTTTTCCAATACATTATTGCCCGAGAAGCATCACGCGCGCAATGTCCTTAGACAGAGAGATCTCGAGCATGATGGCTACCCCTGAAAGTCCAGCCAGATGATCTTTTCTTCCAGGATTGGGAGCCCCCATAAGCTTGATTATTCTGTTTGTCACCCAAATGTTGGCTCGGATAGGATGGCAAAGCAGCGGTGGTCGTCCAGGCCGGGGTGGAAGAAACTGCGATAGAAGACGGCCCAGTGGGGATAATGGGGGTGCTTGTAGGCGATGCACTCCCACCATGGTAGAGTGCTGGGCCTGGAATCACATAAGTGCGAAGGTTGTTGAATATATCGACCAGGATTCCGGGATCGGTTGGCTTGTAAAACTGGGTAGCGGGAATACCTTTAGGAGCAGCAGTACCACCCCCTGTTATTTTCAAGTTAATGCATTGCATATAAGCTTGTGCACCATTGTTACTCATTGCGTTATGCAATGCAATAATCTCATGACGAAGAACATAGTTTCCCGCTGCGATATCGGAGGGGATATTGACCGTCCAGGTATTGTTGGCAGCCATAAGCTCATCGCTGGCCCACCTTCCAGGGGACTTGCTGTTGTCGAGAAGACCAGCCTCTTCAATTTTGAAAAACTCAAGCTTCGTCTTATTCACAGAAGCGCAGCTCCCATTGCAGTTTGCAAGGTAGCTAATGACCTACTTTGTGTTAACATTCTGATTGGATTCAAAGACTTTGACTCGGTTGTTGCCCGATTCTTCTAATCACTTACTGGACCACGATGATCTTCAAACCATCTACTCCAATGCAGTGTCACCTTGCCACCAGCAGCAACCTCTCCAGCTAGAGCACCAGGCTTAGCATCCTCGTGGCAGATAATATTCGGCTGGTTGTAGTCAAAGGTTTGAACATAGGCGTCTTGGGTATCCGCAGTTGACCACGCAATGAGATCATGAACATTTGGTTGACCAGTGTATTTATCGACCAGGAATCCACCGTAGGACTTGCCATCAATGTTGATACGATCAACGTGTCCATGAGCTGCGGCCAGGCCAGCTGTGCCTAGGATGAGGCATGCAAGTTTAGAAAGAGACATTGTTAAGCAATGAGTGAAAAGGTCAAACGAAGAACAACTTCAGTCAATGAAGCAAAGAAACAGGAATAATAAAAAGAATGAGAGAATAAGAGAATAAGAGAATGTGCTGTACAGGATAAGGAAAAGAAAAGAAGACTTTGATGGGAAAAGAGAAGGGTTTATATATGCCTAAAGTTAGTCAGGCTTGTACTTCAGATAATGTACTTAAAATATGTAGAGAATATGGTATATTGGTAACAGCCTCAGTTTAAAACACCAATCCACAGTGCATTGGCCATGGTTTCAGGTCAGGCCTAAGCTCGATACAGGTAGTTTTCTCTTAATATCATGAATCCAAAGTCCAATAGAAGTGCTGACAGCTACTGTTCAATGTTTAGATCATATTTCGATGAACTGCTGACAGAGACCGTTATACGTGCCGTATTTCTATATTTCTCGTTCTGAAGATGTGAGGAGTAATTCGTATAATCTAATCTAATAAAGTCACAACTCCCAACATGATCAAAGCTCAATGTGGACTACAATAAAAACTTTATCTATTGGGTTTAACATATAATTTTGAAAGTTTGTATTAGAGTCATTCTCACAATTCGTTCGACCAACAAACATATAACGAATATTCTTCTTGGCCCAGTTCCGGTCTTTAGTGTGATTGAATAATTTGACCTTGAGTGATGTTACATAATTAGTGCCGCAAGATTCCTTTAGAAACTTGATGCAGCCAGACATTTTCACCACACTAGGTACTTGGTAGAGGGTCCCGAAAATCAAAGTTTGAAATACGTAAGTCAAACCGATTTCGAGAATGGCTGTATACATGTCTTAAACCTTATTTGTCTGGACCCTGACGATCACGACGAAGAACCAGGATCCGAGGTTTCATATTAATTTACTAGGCTGCAATACTCTTCTAAACGCTCTCAGAGTAATGATTAAGATGAAGCGAATCTTAGTTATTAAATATCAAACAGCCAAATCCATAATCCATCTGCGTCGATAATGCAATATTTGCGACATACAATTCATATGTAGAAAGTTCACCATCAAACTACCTACCGTTCTCGTCGAGGAGTATTATCATAATGATTGTTAGCCCAGCTGTGCGGTAAAGACCAGCCTGTACTAAGACCACTATGTTTGACTTTGGCCAACGGTTGCAGATAAATTGTTTACCCCAAGCTAGAGCAAAGTGGGCTTTGAGCACATAGAACACCATGACTAGGTGGATTTGCCAAGAAGTCGCTACGAGACGAACCCTCGTATTCCATCGCTCCACCGCCTTTTAGCTTACTTTGAAGCTTTTTGTTGGGAATCTTGTGTCTGTTCTTCTGATAGTTATGGCACTAGAGAGGCTTTTTATAAATAGAAATATACAACCATAATCGCACCCCGTTGAAGTTGTCCTAAAGAGGGATTGTAAGGGTTCAATGCGATTATATGGGCTGAGCTAACGGCATTGGGAAGGTGGTTATCATCGGATTCTTCAAAATCCACAAGAGAAACCGGGATAAACCGAATACGACGCCCTTAAAACTGGTAGCAGACTTCCAATAGCGGGATTCCCAAGTCGACTAGCGTCGTGCTCCACGACCTGGTCGCAAACGCATCAAGACTGAAGAGAAATTCCGATTTCCAGCTCATACCTTCATCGCACAAGCTGTTCTCATTATATAAGTCCTGATTTATCTTCAAGAGTGTATTGTTTTTCGGGGCCTCGATATTATAATATATATTGAGTAGAAATATATTTGCAATTCCCGGTTTTGCTGTTGATCTACTACTTGGATTAATAAGGCCTTTTAGAAAATTTACTGCTATCATAATCATAATACTGACAGTAATATCGGTACGAATATATATCTGCGCAGAGATATTGGTAAATGGCTTATGCAATAGTGTCTATCTGCTGACTACAGTATTAACACTGTTCAGCAGCTTGATATAGATATTTTTATCGGGTATTGAGATAGATAAATCTACTAATATATTAATAGCAGTAAAGATACTGATGCTTACTTCTATATCCAAAGCTATATCGGAACTAAGCTATACAATACCCGGAATATTGACAAGGCTGTAAATAAAATCTAAGAGCGCATACATAAAGGACTTATTATAAGCAGCGGCAATATTCGCGGTAATAGCTATATCTGCAGAGAAGCCTGTATTGATATTGAAGTGGAGTTGCTGCAGCTTGAAGGCCCAGAAGTTGTAGTATAGGTAGCCCGAGAAGGTAATCTTCGAGGAGAAAAGAGAGAATACTGGAGTTCAGAAAATCCTGCCCCTCCAAAATGGGTTAGCGCCCTTAAGATTTCGCCATGTTTGTCCCGTGCAACAGATAGCAAGGGAGGGATGGAGAAAAAGAATAATATACATCAGTAGTTTCATTGTTTACTAAAGTCACTTCTTCGTTATACGCGAAACGAGCTGCCAGCGTTGAGGGCAGTGGTAACCTGATTACATGGATCGACTAGGTAATCCTCTACCAATGATGACTGGCTCTTCTGGTGGTCTAGCCAATGATAAACCGACTCGAGAAGGCCATTGCTATTATTGGGCGAAGATGCCTTCGAGCAACGCCCTTGCGGGACGGGCCGAAACGCGTAACGTAAGCGGACAACGAGTCGCTAATGACAATGAACCGCCACCCCGCCGTCGCGGAGAAAACGCGTCTTTCGAACTGAACAAAATTGGAGCTTTTCCATCGGTGAAATGAGTAAGAGGTGAACTTCAAAGGATGCGTGGATGAAGTTAGCTATTGAAGCATTTAATAATGGTATTTTTGACACGAAATCTGGGTATGCAAAAGCATTTGATATACCTCTGGAAACGCGTACAGACCGCCTCAATGGAATCCTTCCTCGCAATAGAAAAGCGACAAATCTACGGAAGCTTTCAGATAGTGAAGAAGAAACTCTTAAGAAGTGAATTCTAGAGATGGACCAACGTGGCCTACCTCTTCAAATATCAAATGTCCGCTATCTTGTTGAGCTACTTCAATCTGTGTTACTAAAGCCATGTCAGTCCTCCTTTATTAGTCAGATGGGTTCGACGATTTGTTCAATAATATGATAATCTTCGGTGAAAATATACTGTCTGTTATGATTATTAATGGTTAAAATGCGAAGATCCCCAAGTTATAGCTAACTGGCTTAACTTGGTTCGAAATACTCTATACAATAATAGTATTATAGAGCAGGATATATATAATATGGATAAGACAGGCTTTTAAATAGGTATGGCAGCAATTGCGAAGGTGATCTGGGGTAAAGAAATATATCGATCCAAGGCACAATTATTAGAGCCAGGGAATAGAGAGCGAGTGATAGTAATTATTGCTATTAGTGGAGTAGGTACTGTTTTATTTCTACTTTGGGTATCTTTGCTGGTCAGATATATCAATCCCAGCGGTATACTGATATTCCCAAAGCTATTGTATCAGTACTATCGAGAATGGCTGGTCAAATAATGATCTAGGCTTTGAATAGCCTTAAGAAGTATTTGAAAAATGGCTCTATGGCCAACAGATCTATAAAGCTATTCGAAACCGTATTTATATAATTGATAAGTCTGATTTCTTATTCCATTATACACGTATCTACTCATACGCATTTGCATGCTCTAATATTATGAGTGGTTTTGGAGCAATTGGTTTGTTCCATTTAAGCCGGAAAGAGTGCTACAAAAGCTTCATATTAAATTGAAGACACCGACTCCACCATCCACATCAAGCAGCAAAATTAAGGAGTGAAGGACACTTCTTTGTATACTCTTTGTAAGATAAAGTATATAGTCTTGCAATATACCCTATTTTATAAATTAAGACTGCTCTGTAATTATATTCTATTATATAATACAGGGTTCTGGGACTTTTTTTAATTAAATATATATTATCTCCAATCCATTTCCGATCTATAGATCTGATAGTGTACTGGAATCTATATTTTCTCTTTATATATATAAATTTGTAACAGTACCCTTATCTACTACTAAACTGCGTATCCACGAGTTCTCAAGAGCTTTATAGGGCGGGATATATTTATCTGAGTCGAAAGTAAAAAGCTCTTGTAGTAAATCGAGGAATATTTTATTAAAAAGATTATTCTGTGGAACAAACTCCTGGAAATAAACATTAATAGAAGTCTAATTATAGAGTAGATATAGGACTTTACTCAAAGTATCTTTCTAGACTTTACACAGTCCTTTATTGCGTGTGAGAAATTAAAGTTGCTATGGGAGACATATCTAGAGATATAATCAGATTGAAAGTCAATTACCGATATAACAATAGATATACTAGTATATATTACTCCCTACTATTGATTCTGTATTCAACATAGCTATACGGACCATATTTAGATCAATATAACGGCCGACAATATGTTCTATCATCGCCAGGAGCTCTATATACTTTTCGCGCACATAAAATGGAATTTCGCCCGCGAATAGCTCCACGAGAATACAGCCAATGGCCGACATATCAATCGGAGAGCTCCAGCCCAGCTTTAGAATAACTTCAGGTGCTCGGTATAATAGGTTCATTATCAGGCCATCATATGTTCTGTCTCTAGACAACGTTGTTCTAAAGTCAGTTAGGCGGATTTCTGTTTTACAGAGAGCACGACGATCTCTTTGTGCCAATGCACCCGGAAGATTTATTGTGGAAGAGACCAAGGACACCAAGGGCTCCACAGGTCAGTAAGGATCACCTTTATAGAAGTCAATAATATCGAAGGTCGGACTTACAGGTAAGACTCGCGAAAACTTGGGAGGCTACGTGTTGGACATGGCTGGGAGGAATCGGGGCCCAGCCATTGCAATCTAAAACATCAAGTAGGGTTTCCCCAAATAACTCCATAACCAAACAAACGTGATCATCAGTGTGCAATAGATTCGGATACAATAGGCGGACAGACCGAGTTTCATTCTTTGGATCTTTATTTCCTAATATCTCCAGAGTGCGAAATTCTTGACGGGCTGCGGCCTTCTCCTTGGAAATCTTGATAGCACAGCCGTGCTTGTTCTTGTCATCGTATGCTTCGACAACCTTGCCGAAACTTCCGCAGCCCAGTTTTCTTATAACCTTATCTTTAGGAGAAGTAAGTGTTCTAAGCGTAAGGCAACAGAGTAGTAAGGCGCATACATCTGCCAGATAGCCATTTTCCGGGTTCTAAAAATTCAGGCCATTCGTTCTGCGGTGATGACATCCCGGAGTTCTTCGGAAGGATACCATTTGTCATAGAGGATAGATGCAGCGGACATTAATGTAGAGGCACTAGACATACTGAGTGTTAGGATCCTGAGGCTTATTCTGAACGACACTATATTTAGGCTTATTTCCAAAGCATATCCTCAGAATTTCGCCTGTAGAAGATACGCTCTTCCAACGTGACCCACTAGCGCTAGCTGATACAACCATCCGGAAAATAATGAACATGAGTCGCACTGTGTAATGGATTTGAAGTCATTAGTACCTTTACTCTTGTATCTTAACTCACACAAATCGTCTGTTTAGTGGATATGCTATCACAATAGGTAGTCAAACAATATTGGTACGCTCTCGCTTAGCGTCAAGATACGGAGAAGAGCAGAGCTTTTTGATACAGTTGGGAAGCAGCAGTATACATCATGTTATCTCTACAGCCACACCCACAGTATGGTACCTACCTCGTGAAATAGTCTTTTAGGTTAGCCCAATCGGGGCTAGGCCCACTCAACCCTGTACGGTTCGTGCAGGCATCTACAGATTGTCGGTGAAAGTGGTACGTTTTAAGACGAATATACTAGACGAAGGTCAGCTTTGTGAGATTGGTCCTTTTACACATCAAAAGTTCAGGATATGTCAGACACAGAAATTGGCGAACGTTCCCTCCAACAACTAGACCAAGGGCTTGAATGATGGGAATAAGAACCTTCAGCGTGCGAAGTGGACGGTTTTGGGCGAGGCTGACATTATACTTTTGAAGACATCGCCGCCATCAGAAGGAAATGGTAAGAAACGACATCCAGTACCCAAAGTGTACTATCCACTCAGCACATGTTTCATTACAGTCCAATTCAATTCTTAGTAGATATAACTTAGTCTGTGTACAGATGAATAGGGCCACCTGTGCCAGCCAATTATTTGCCGCTGATATTGCAATAGGGGATATAATCGGATGCGCTCGTGCGGGAATAAATGATTACGTGGGCCCATTTCGTCCTCAAAGTATCGGCGACATCAAAGGCTTGCATCCATAGTGTCTCTTCCTGTTCTTAGCCACAACGCCTGCAGTAATTTTCGCTCCTCCGGATCAACCCGAATGCTTGTTGCCTCCACACTTATTATAATCTACCTCCAAATAAACCCTCCACCTGCTGTATTTATACTTCTTATGGAAGGGTCGTACAGTATTAACTTTTATAGCGCTGGACCTCTCCTGATCTAGAGATCTCCCACTCCACTATAATAGCACTGGATAGGCTCTATCTTAAAGAGATCGTGCAAAGTCCCATACGGGATCTTTTTGCATCAGGGGTCGTTGAGGTGGAAGGGGCAGTCCAGCACTTCGTGCAAGTAGTGGAGGGACACACAAGGGTGATCTTACAGAAAATACAGGAAGACGCGAATCTGGCAATCGAACTGTTTAAGGTCCAGATACGGAAACTCGCAGAGGAGAAATTCAGATATATGAGGAACAAGCGCTGAATAAAGTGAGGGAAGCACTCAATGCCTATGAAACAAATATAAGTCAGGCTGTTAGATCTATCGATCCAACGGTAGAGAATTCAAAAGCCACTTTGGATCCCGCTTGTAAGCATGATTTGCCTAACAACAGCCATTTGGATATAAATGCTATTGAGACAGACACTAGCCACAGGGGCCAATTGTATCAAAGTCCCTTGTCGAAGAGGGCTACATATAAGCGGCGTGGGACGGGAAGAGGCTCAGATAAGCACCGTAAAGAGACCGAGGAGCTTTCCGACTTGCTTGTCAGGATTGTCGTTATAATCCTCAGTGAGGAAGGCAAAAAGCCCGAAAGGTACAAAGATTACATAGCATGATAGATACGGTACTTCGCCCTGCCTTGGAAAAATCGTGCATTAAAAACGAAGAAGAATTGCGCTCTCGCATTGCAGAACATGTAGGGAACAATGCCAACATTCACCGTGTGCAAAATCTACTCAGCGACAAGACTACAAAAAGTCTTCTCTTGGATTGTATGGATCTAATAATCAAGGGTGCCCCAAAGAAGAAGACCTCTATTCACATAAACTGTCCTCTAGTTATTAGATGGGTGTGTAGCTATTCAAAGATAACTCCTAATCCTTCTCGGCATGGCAAGCGAACCAAAAAATAGGAAATCTGTGGCATGTGTTCAACGGGCGAGCGGCCACACTGCCCGATTTCTAAGCACCATTTTAAATTGAAGCTATTCAAAACAACTCAAAACCTGCATTTCTATAGGGGATTTGAATAGTCTAACAATTAGGATTGAGTAATTTTATGGCCTAGACCCTTGTGCGTGGTGCACCGAGCCCTATACCCTAGCACATGGGATATGTACAATGGGAAGCAATTGAAGTTTGGAACACCCGCTTGGAGTTTAGCGACAGCTTTGGGGATCGCCTACAAAAAATATATATATATGGTGTTGTGAGCAATCTCGCTGACGTAACTAACCGATAAGCGATAACGTAATCGGTAAACGAGCGGCCACCCCTACACCCATATAAAAAATAAAAATAGCCAAAACACCATGAATTCACACATAGTGCATACTACAAACTTAGCTTCCAGTTAGTATGCCGCTTGCTAAGACCTGAATATATCCTGTTTTCTCGTTTGCCCCAATGACGTAGAAGCTTGCAGTCAAAACAATCACCGGCAATATAAATGAGAGGCCCGTGAAAGCCATGCTGTACAGGATCTGAATCTCGGAATCCTCGTCCCCAATGACAATCGCTCGATTTGCAATGAAATGCATGCACCAGATACCAATTCCTCCCATAGTTATAGACGAGGTCAGTAATAGGTACCTATCTCAGAGGTCAGAAATGCCAGATTAATTTTCACTATATAACAAATTGATAATCATACCAGTTATATATGCCTGTTTGTGATGTCCTTCGATGAAGAAGCTCTAAAGTGGTCGTGCATCCTATCATGCTGACTACATAGGAAAGAATAACATAACCGGCCTGGTATGACACATCAGTAGCTTCCCCTTCGGTGGAAATGTATTTATTCAACATTTCGTAAATAAGATTAATTGATTATACAATTCAAACGAATGGTGAGAAGCTCTGTGTTTGCAATCAATGATATGCCTGTAGAGAAGTAAAACAATTCAGTGTAAAAATAAGTGCATTAGGCTGAAAGTATGGGAAAGACTTTATATAATCACACCAACTATTCATATTTACGGTAAGGGGGCGCCAGGTGTCCCAATGGTTAGATCCATAAAAACTCAGACACCATATTTCGTTTCTAGACATTTATTTTTCCTTTTCTGATTAACCGCTTATGTCTCATCCCAGCCAGAGATCCCAAGGTTTAATATCTTAACAAGGTAAAGTCTGAACAAACTGTGCTGGAATATTTACTGGGCCTGGGGCACTTCCATAGAGAAAAAAAAAAAAAAGTCTAAGGCTCCTCGCATCCATTCATAAGCAACTTTCTCCCCTTAGAATCCTCCTATTTGTGAAAACTGCCCTTTCCTGACCAGACACCCCCTGGCTGAGGAGTAAGACATCCATCGCCTAAAGCTTTTTATTTGCTATGTTTGCTAAAGATGGTGGTCTGATACAATACCTAACTCAATTTAGCAAGTCAGAATGACGACATCATGGATCTGTGCTATTGGCATTCACGAACACGAAAAAAGGAAATAAAAAGAAAAATGAAAGGAAAGCAAAACTTGTGGGATCCAGAGTTTCTTGCAATCGTTTTCAAAGTAATAATTGAAATGAGGAACACCGGGCAACAGTAATCAAATAATACACAAGAGAAATATGAGCAATAGGTCTGGTGCCAGAACTGCTAGTTGATCAAGGTCATTCAGCAATAAAGATTCTGATACTGATGTATTACCTTCGAATTGATAGTGCGTTGTCTACCCAGATCTGTAGGAAGCCACTCGGTTTGCACCGTGGTATGTCCACTGCTTCTGGTTGTGAGCTTTTTTAAATGTGAAAGCAAAAGAAAATCACATCAGATCATCCCATTTCCTTCGAAATATTCCACAAGAAAGATAATGAATTTACTTTCGGTCTATAACCATACAGTAAGGGGAAAATGGCGATCCGTAGCCAATCTGATGGCATACGGTCTGTTGCTTTGCTGATGTTCCAGAGTTGCGAGTTCGATACTTCTATATATTCGATATAGACCTCTGTTCTTCTTTGTAGAAAGGGCAACATATACTTGAATATGGACTTTCCCCACGCTGATCGATGGGTGAAAGCTCCCCTCGAACATTGCCCATGTACATTAGAGCGGGATGTATAGATATTTAGAGGAAGAAGTCCAAACATTTCCCCTCGCCTGAGAGGATAGATATACCACACATTCTATTCTTATTATATTTCACGGCTGGTCCCTTGTCTAGTAATTGCTTCTTGGCTATCCAACATACAGCAGATGATTTGGTCCTAGTGGGCAAGAAGAACCACGTCGCTCATTAGGGCAACTGTTTTTTTCCCCTCACCACTACTCTAGAGATCATGGAGGTTGGTCTATGCGTCTGTAACTGTCTGGGCCGGTCATTGTCTTCTAAATTTGGTATTAGAGATGACGTTTACACTCCCAAAGCGCAGGAGGCCTAAGAGCTATGGAACATGTGCCTAAATTACGCGAATCCAGTCCATCGCCCCTGCATATGTAGGTATCTTAGCAGCCAATCCCAGACCTGCAGTAGAGCTAAGCGGTGCAAAGTTTCTTTACCGGACATGAAACATGTAAATAAAAATGCCACTCCCTCCGAGACACGGAAGACGTTAAAAAGGTTCCCAGCATTAGCAGAGAAGTGCGCGAGACAAACAGGTGGGGTTTCGCTACTCTCTCCAATGACGTGGTAGTTACAAGCCATTATGATCCAAATCTGGCTCTGAATGGCCCGAAATCCCCGAAGGAATAGCCCTTCTGAAGACTGTTCAAACAAACTACGCTGAGCATATACTTGGCATACAATTAGCATTTTAGGACTATGATAAGATTTAGCCAGGATGGACCAGAAGTATAGTTGAGATATGGTTTCACTTTTTTTATTTTTGCATAGTTGCTCATCAGAAGGACCTGTATGGGTTGCTGGTGAGCTCTTGTATATAAGAAATAAAACAAGCATGAAAGATATCAGAAAGAAGCTTGAAACTAGCTTTGTTAGTACCTGAGGCGTTGATTGACGAAATCGACACTTGCGGGGTCCAACCAATGATAGACCGGCGGGGCCATTGGACTGAGTACCTTTAGAGTTTTAAGCTTAGGCTAGTGTGTTTCAGATTACGATCTGCAAGACCCTGATCGAGGTAATGCTATTCTTGGCCCATCGATGGTCGACGCTAGTATTCACCAGATTGCGGGCTACATGCGCCGCCAATGGAGACTCAGAATTGTGCCGATGCTCCACAGCTAATAAGATCACCCATTAGAATTTAGAACCCAACCCCATCCTTTATCAGCCACAGCCACACACGAGGAACCAGTTCGCACGTGGTATTAATCTATTGTCGTCTACTTGGGCGTATCAGGTTAGAATAGGTTAGACGCAACGCCACCCCATCTTTCATCAACTTTGGTCCAAGTAGAAACCGCCTCCGATCGCGAAGGCTCGGTGATTGGACTGTCAGGTAATAGGCGGATGCGGCATTGCCCATGTAAACCTAAAGTCCGGGTTGATAATACTCAAATTATGTACGGTTGGGGAAGGAGATACGGAAGTGGGTATAACTGTTAATATTTTAAATGTAGTATGACTAATACTGGTCTAGTTATTTGTTAGAACCACTTGCATATGTGGGCAATAATTGAGCGGAGGACAAGCTACTCCTGAACTTCTCGGTGTAGGAGTTGGCCGCAGCTACTGTAATTTTTCGAAGGGTTGAGACCCCACTGTCTAAATCGCTCTGATTACCAAATTAAATTATAACTCCTGCATCGAGGCCACACATTAGTTAGCTAATCGAAAGTATACTTAGTGGACTCTGCTATACAGGCTTATATATTCAGCAAGTAAAACACATCTATGAGCCTCATAGATAGCTAGCTGGATATACAGCTCTGAACAGCGTGTTATAATGGGTAGGTCTCGTTGATTGTATTACGTTATGTAGATTTATACCCGCATGACATTCTAGACAGGTAGATTACCGATAATTATTATTTTAAAAGCCGTATCTCACATGCTGCTTGGCACATAGGGGTACCTACGTTTTATGGTTCAGTTATTAAACACATGGTATTAAGATCAAGTAATATAGGCATAAGAATCCCCTTCAACAGACTAGTACACACATTACTCCCCTCCCTGGTGTCTAAGTATTATATTCCAAGCATGGAATGATTTCACAGCTGTATGTGAACCGTTCTTGCAACACTAGGCACACCCTCACTTGTTATCGCAAACAACATCCAATATCCGGGAATAACAACTCCAGGATCACTAGGCAAGTCTAGCGTATACGAGATTTTGTTTGTGACTCTCGGCTTCAGAGAAATACGTCTTTGGTCCGTGTTCACTGAATGTGTATTCGAACCGTACCGTATGAGTGCAAAATCTGCGACTTCCACATCTGTTTGCACAGTTATGGAGTCGCCGACTTTGACTGTTCCTGGAGTACTGGTGATCTGCGGCCGGGGAGCCAGTGATCCGTCTGCCTTGAACAAGTACGGTGGGAGGAAGATCTGGGCATCGAAGTGGTTGGTGGCGCAGTTGGTACCGCAAAGGCCGCCACCCCCGCTCAAAACTGTAGCGTCTGGGAGGAGGAGGCCAATGCTGTGATAGGTGCGGGGAACAGCCATGGGATTCATTGCCACAAACATCTCGGTTTCTGGATCCCAAAGCTCTGGAACCATGATGGCGTTGGTGTCCGTGAATGGCACGACATAACTTTGACCGCCAAGGATGAGGACCTTGCCGTCTGGCACGATAACACTGTTCGCGAACCCGCGAGCGTAAGCCATGGGACTGATTTGACGGACATTTGCTGTGTCGCCAGGATTTCCGAGAGTGATGATGTGTGCAGAGTTGGTCGCTTCGCTATCTTGGTAGTTCGGGCCCCCCCCAACTGTAAGGATCTTGCCCTGAAGCGCATCGTACATGACCGCATTTCCATTCATTGAGTCAGGATCACTGCCACGGAGACCCGCATCCTGCTGGCTTCCTGTTCCGTCCACATTATACCAGTTCATGGCACTGCTCGGGCCAGCCTGGAACACGTATTTTTGTTTCCATGCAAATAGCCACCCATGATTGTCTTGGCGGTATACGCCTTGGCTATCCTTTGTTAGCATAGGCTCGACTTTGCAGCCTGGTAGTCTTGTCCAGATATTGTTGGCGACGTCATAGACCTCTCCAGCCTTGTCGCCTTGACCGCCGCTCCATGAGCCACCAATCGTGAAGATTTGTCCATTCGATAAAGTGACTTGGGATTGATAGCCCCGCGCAATTTGCATATTGCTGGCGGCGATCCATCTGTCTGTGCCTGTATTATAGATGCTGGTCCTCAGGCTACTGCTCCCCCCGGTAACAACCGGTTGACCCAAATGGTCTAGAGAAAGCCCGGGACAGAACATATCATGATGAGTATCATTGACCACTCGTTGCGAAACAGTTCCCGTGCTTAGATCCCAAGTAGCGGTGAATGTAATGCCGGTTTCTCCGCCAAACGTGTCAGGCCTGAAAGCAGACCACATCAGCAGATTGGTGTCGTTAATCATTGCCGCTGCAACAGGAACAACAGGGAAATTGACGCTAGGGCCCCATTTCCCTTTATCGGCAGGTTGTGAGGTGAAGTCCGACCCAGAAAAGCTTGGATCAGGACTGAGGATATTCACTTCCGCAGCACTCATCCATTGGTTTCCGGTGTCTTGAGCTTCTGACATCGCTGTAAAGCGAACATACCGACCGGGCTGCGGTGTGAAGAGGGTTGTTTTCTGTGAGGAATCGTTCAGGTACATTCCACTTGCCACAGGTTCACCCCAATCATTTCCGTCAATACTCAACTCAAGCTTATGCTGACCAATGTTGCCGTTATTTTGGCCGTCCTGCCGCGGAAGATATGAGAAACCATTCACCACAAATACCCTTTTCATGTCGATGGTAACTTTATGAGGCAGCAGCATGTTCGATAGAGTCCATTGCGTGTGCCAGAAGGACTTGGGGTCACCATCAAGCATTTTCTCTGCCTCATAACCGACTTGGAAACTGTCGACGCTGACCGTCCAACCAGTACGGGGAATAGAGGTAGCAGCAGCACTCCTTACCGCACGTACTCCTAAGAGGACAAGGAATAAAGAGATCGGTAAGTGATGTAACACAAGCATACCTTTCGGTTGTGTGAGATAATAGGTTATAGGTTACGTATGAGAACGCAAAACCGAGGCAAAAGGTGCTCAGCAGCACTTAGAAGATGGGGGTGCAAGTTGAACTGCCAAATAGGCAAGAGGTTTCGGCCTTCGAGGCCGGATATATTTAAGCAATCCTATCATAATCAAGAAGAGCTACGCATGCATGTTCCTCCGACTAGCCTATCTGGAAGTACGCTGCACCATGCTGCACCATGGTCCAACTGAGACATAGCAGTCCATAGTTCGTTCCCTACTGAGTCAAGAGAAGTCACGAGGAGTGGATACCCCCGCGTAGGGTGAGTCTTGATTTAGCCATGCTAGCCGTTGACCAACTTCCTGTATTGTATTTCGGCCAAAATCTCCGTCCCTAGAAAACTTACGTGTAATGTTCGGCAAGGTGTATCATCGGCTTCAATTCTATGACCATAGAACTCCATAAATATACCGTTGAACTATTATTTCCCCTGTGATATTTGACCAGCTGTGTTTTCCAAGTCTCAGACCTCGATTGGTCTAATCTGCGACATACCTTAGTCCGCAATGTTCGTACTGATTACTGGCGTCATCCGCTTTTGGATCGTCTCTGATACAAATGGCTGTCGGTGAGGGATGTCGTACACCCCCTAACATGATCCTAGAATATTTCTTGTGAGTATTTACATAATAAGGTTCCAATAGTAAAACCTCACTGAAAAGGAATACAATGGAGAGTAAAAGTAGAGCAACTAGTGCAAATAATAGAAAAAAACACGGGCATGTTAAGCTAAAGTGTATAGTAAGGGGAACCTTTGCAGGACTTTCTGTTGAGTGTACTTTTCTTGGTGCCTCAGCGGAGGGAATTCATATACCAACACTCAATGTCCCACCCTTCTTGGCATGTTAAAAATACTACAAAGACAAAGACAAAAAGTAACGGTTGCGATGATCTAGAATTAGCAGTGGGTACACTATCTAGAACTTAGCAATGCAGCTGTAGAAATTATACACAAGAAAGTCAGGGTAACCGTATACCGGATACACTTGTCATGGTTTATGCATATCAATCTATATTTTATATTATTTATTTGGTCGGATTTTATTACGTACCAATCGCCCTGCCTCTGCAGATCTAGTAAAATTATACTAAGTAGACCTCGCCATTACCGGATGAGCCACCAATCGTGATTATTCCCACGGGTGGTAGAATGAAGAAAACGAAAGAGTTGGCAGTCCGTAGTAGAGACCAAGAAGCAGGTGTTAGGTGCTAGTGTCGGAGCATCTTGACACTCTGATAAGCATGGGCAGGTTTCCTTTGCCTGGAAATATCTGGGAAAGCTTCAGGATGCGTTAGTTTTGATGAAAAGGAGTGCCAAACTTCGTCACAAAACACAGCGTCCTCATCGCCCACCTGCTGTATAGTATCCTCTCGCACCCTTAGTAAATAGCAAAACCTGGATAGCTGAGCAGCTCCTCATGAAATAAATCTACATGAGCTTCTGCTGAGGTTGAAAGAAATGAACGCTTTTGAATCAATTTTCCCGAAGTCCAAAAGCGTACGTATCTATATATTCCTATTTCCTCAAGTTTGTGAATCTGCATAGGTTTACTGATACTGCAAGTCTGCCTGTCATTATTTTCCAAGTCTGGCTGGGCACTATATTCAAGGGGCAGCTGTGAGCTTCTCCATTGCCTTTTTCTGAAGCCTGTAACAGCAGGCGTGTACGCCATAAATGGGTGAGTACCTTGGACCGTTCTGTCAAGTATTCGTGAATCTATGACGGATGCCCCAGCCACCATAAATACACTGCTCAATTATTTTAGATTCTGGTTCTAACCATTAGGCAGCGCATTTTTATTATTGTTACGAAGAGAGACGTACTGAACCCATATGTACAAGGTTGCTAATGTCCTCTCCCATCATTGGCAAGCGGGCATTCAACGGTTTCAGAGAATGTTACTAGACTAGAAAAAGGGTATAGCTCAGACAGCATTCTGAAATCAGTTGAAAACAGGTGATGACTATGACCATATTCTTAGCATCTTGCGTTATTTATTTTCGGCCTGGATATGTAATTGCAGATCACTTTCCAACCCAAGTTAGATCAAGAAGTCCGCCAAGACTGTATTGTATGTAGTCTTTGTATTAATGACATAATATATATACATTCTACCGATTGTAATAGAAATACTACAATGAGTTATATATTCCCTGGGTGGGCCTAACATCTATAGTCAGACTAGGTTTGGTCCACTAGCAACTCGCTCCTAGGGCCTGAGGACATGGCCTATGAGAAGGGAGGTTGGTGTTACAGTAACATCATATATAGATGGTGGTTAGGCGTATCGAACAAGAATCTCGATATTTTGGTCTTGTTAGCTCAGTGGTTCAGCCTGGCTCTGCCATGTCTAAGACAAGTCTCTTGGCAAGCCGAGCTGAGTGAGCACCAAGCAGTCGAGCAAGGCATGACAAGCTTATTAAACCCTAATTTCTTTCCAGCTATTTCAGTTATCGAGTGAACTTATTGAGAATTTCATGATACTGTACAGTTAGTATTAGTTTCAGGCTCTTAAATATTAAATATTATGGATTAATAGTATTTTAGATTCACTTTTCATTATAAAATAGGCGAGCAGATTAGACTAGAGTACTCCAGGAACTAGGTTTGGGTCGACCTAGAACTAACCTAGCCTGAGTCTAAGTTCAAACCTACATTTAGTTCTACGTCAAAAACTTTCCGTGTATTCCGCCTTTCCCTCCCGAATCATCAAACTGATCTTGGTTTCTAAAACCGCCATTATTCTTCCACTTTCTTAGTAATTTACTAGTAAATAGAAATATATATAGAAAAATGTTTACCAAGCACCCTAGGCCTGCCTGATCTATATACTAAATCCCCGCTGGTTCGGAGCGCTTTTTGTTCGATGGTATACCGAACGGTTGAGGCGGGAATTTGCAGCGTGCCCCCAATTTTGGCCTGAGAAATCTCTGCGTGGTGCAAACCATATATAAAAACCCTCGAATAGGGACTTCGGTTTTCTTAATCCTATTCGGGTTTATTACCCCTAGAAGCGTTCGGGGAGCCATTCGTAGAAGAAATAACAAATAGGTCCTGGAAGATGCGTTTCACACAGAAACTTTCAGAGTTGAGTAGGTCTTTGACACCTCCTATGCATTAGCCACTTGAAATGTAGAATCTAAGCACGGTCACTTATATTTGAAAGGGTCAAGGAAAGCTCCCTCCTAGTTGTATTCTTTGCGTTACAAATCTATAATCTAGACAAATCCTTTCGTTAACACAGCCTCATAACATGCAGGTTCCCTCCACATATATATAAAACATGTCCAGTAAGCAGCTTATATATGAGAGAGTAGAGTTTAATACAGTGCCATGCATGTTGAAAAGGTTTAAATAGGATATTACACTTCTATGACTGCCAAGACCTGTATTTTTATACAAAGTTAAGTTTTCATGGCGGCCCCAATGGGGCCCTATTATGGGTTATGGATTGGATCATGGGATATATAAAGCCGTTATTACTTCCAGTTTACATCAGTCACTCACTATACTCTCACACCTTAGTCTCAAGACACATTATAATTCTTTCCTCCCTGTCAGCCTTCAAGTGTAACTTCTACACATCTATCAACCATGATTCCTGCAGTTCTCGTTTCCGCTCTCTTCTTCACGGCGCGCGCTTATAGCGTCGAAGTAGATCGAGTAGATCGAGTCGCTGCTGACCAAATCATATCCCAACTCGAAAGCAACATAAAATTAGACTCCAAAAACAAGCCATACAATCAGGCGGAAAAATACTGGGAGCCAACCTGCATCGAGCAATGGGGTGGTTGCAACAACATTGGAAAATACCGGCGCACCTACCTAGAATCGGCAGATACAATTAGTGTCACCTATGAAGTCTCTCTCGAGGAGAGTATGATCAACGCTGATCCCGTCGCCAACAAACTAGTTCTGAGAAACTCAACATGGATCACACAATCCAGCACTAAAGGATGGACTATTGGTGCAAAGCTTTCTGGAACTGTTGGCAAAGAAGGCAAAGGATCTGTCGGCGGCGAGATCTCGGCACAATATTCCGACAGTAACACCAATGAGAAGAAGGAGACCAGAGAGGTTTCCTACGAGATGACATGCCAACCTCACCATGAATGCCGCTTTGAGACCTGGACCTTCCATGTCAAAGCTACTGGACTTTGCCAGTGGTTCCCGATGCTCGACTGTGCTGGCGAGGTCGCTGTCTGTGATACCTGGCCGTGGAATGAGAATACATGCCAGCAGTTCCTGGACGTTCGTGATCAATGTCCTGCCAAGGCAAATAGACCCCAAGAGCTTTGCGAAGTTATAACTCCACTCTACGAGGCAGGTGGGAAGCCGTTTTCCAAAGTTGTTACTGTCTCAATCCCGCTTAATGGGACGAAGAGGTCAGAGCTCGGTCCGGAGTACCAGGTCATTCTCTAGAATCTTGGTGAAACTAAGTTTGGGCACATCATTGTCTCCGGCTTGTTCTTGACTTTTATTTTTTTCAAATTATCGCAGTGGTAGTTGTGTTATTGTTCATATTTAGCTTGTCCCTTTGAGGAAGCCGCTGATAAGAGAGCACTGCTATAGTACCGAATTTTATTCCGCTCACTCATTTCTTTTTTTATCTACAGTACAGTCACTGTTACACTGTACTATTGTTATTGTGATGATTGAAATGTCGGTCCTTGAGGTCACCTGATGGCCTGACTGTCTTTTGATTGTCTTTGGTGTATACATTCATCTTTTGATTCCAAGTCAGATATATATATCTACTAAACTATTTTACTTTTCTGATTTTATCTTGTATTTCTCAAATTAATGAATGAATACTAACCCTTAATAATAAATAGTATTTAATAGTGTAAATCTGGACTCTGGTCTAACGCGATATTGTCACAACTATACTGGTCACATATCAATACTGTAACGGTGAGTGGTGTGAGCTGGAGGGCAATCATGGACCATCCACTTCCTTAGCATAGTAAGGGGGTGATGTGGATTCATCAGAGTGGGACGGCCAACCTACCACAATGAAGACAACAAAAGATCTAGAAGAGATTGAAACCCTACTAGTTGTGGCGATAATTCTCCAGATAGAAGACCAAATTCCTATATCACTTGGCCAAGCTGCAAATATTTATTCTTTCATTTATCTGTGATTGCAAGTAGGTAATAGTTAGGAAATGTAGAGGGTTGCCGACCCTCCGTATAGGCGGGGGGTCGCTATGGTCTCTATATACACGCGGTAGCCACTGGGTTGTAGGGTTGAACCCGTAGTGGGCCCGCAGAGGAACGCTAAGGGGAATAGGGTTCCTTCGTGATTCAGATCACATATATCTCCCTGCTTTCTTTCCTTCTTTCTTTCTTTCATTCATTCATTCTTTCTTTCATTCTTAACCTTTCCGGCTCGCTCATTTCATCGAATTCCATAATTATGTTTAACTTCTCCTGGTTCAACTCCTCAAAAGAGGAAGATGACCCCCAGTCCACCTGGAACCCTAACACCCTTACTCTGGAACAACCCTCTAGTCCTGCCATCCCCAATCAGGAAGAGTTGGTGACCAAGCCAGTATGTATTCCTCCAGCGATTAACTCTCATATATTACTAGCTTCTACTAGAAGACAACTCGCTAACGAGACCAGCCCACCCAGGAACAAATGCATATAAGCCTGCGAGGCGGTGGAGATGATAGTGGTAAACCATTTATTGAATGGTGTCCTTGTGATTGCTGTGTTTGCTTTGAATGTTAGCTACTGGAACAAAAGGATGGATAAGGTCGGATAAGGTCGGATAATGCCTCTATGTATATATTGTTTGTGTGTAAACAACAAAGGTTTATATCATAGAATGATAGTGCTGGAGAAAATTGATCCTCAGTACTGGCGATTCAGCTTAGAACCGTCGGAGTTGTGAGACTCATTCCCGAATACGTTTGCTGCGAATTCCTCGCTGAACACATAATGTGCCCTTCGGTCTGGCTTGCCTCAAATCTCTTTCCGATTCTATTATACTCGGCTCGCGGTCGTGGGTGTTTAAGCACTTCAAAGATTTGTGCCAATCCTGGCCACGTGACCGGTTAGCAGGATGTCTTCCATTTGCTGGACAAGGAATCGACAGAGAGCAGGTGGGGTCGCTGTCGTACTCCCGAATGCAAATGTTACTCCCGGGTGTTCGGACAGGAGCTCTGTGGCCAGTTAGCTGTGCTTGCGTAGCGAGGGTCAAACCTGAGTGTTAGAATCCATTGAGACTCGATATCGAGATATGGTAAGAATAATCTACGAAGATCTGAGTAATAGTATAATAGCTAATCTGTAAATAGTGCAAGTCCAACAGGCCAGACTTACTATGTATATATACTTAACACTTAGAAGAGTATAAATGAGTTAATACTAGTCTACTAGTACTAAAGGTAACTCTATAGTAATAACTACATTTAGTTATAAAGAATTAATTAAGTTATTGTTGAATCTATAGTAGAGTTCTATATTGAAAGTCGCCTTTGTTATAGCTAATATATATAAATTTTATAACTTGTTTCTATATTGTAGATTTTAATTCTAGAGTAACTGAGATATATATATATATAAATTTAATCTATAGTAATAAACTGCTTCCACTACTAGCTATGGTAGCTATTCTAGGCTAAGATTCTCGAGAGAATCACTGTAAGATAGCTAATATTAAATATTACTGGATAAGGTGGTGTAAGGAAGATACTCTACCTCTTCCTTTCTCCCCCCTTGAAAACTATAGGGATAAGTTACACAATATCTATGTCTTCGGTTCAGAGTATTTACTCGGGAATACCTAAAATGTCCAGCTGTTTCGCCTTATCTTAACCTAGAGATATCGCTGAAAGGACAATACCTGGTGGGTTGTTATTGTAATAATGTCTGTGATTACAATTTACTTCTCCTGGCCTCTTCTTCTTCTTTCTTTCTTTCTCTCTTTCTTTCTTTTTTTTTAATTGTAATTAACGGTATGGATGCGCGGTATAGCCAACCGGCGTTTGAAATATTCTAACAGTTATTCATCCCCTTTTAAAAGAGAGCAACCCCCCCGTCCCCGGGAGATCAAGACATGGCACATGCATCCAAAAAGGCTAGGATCATGATACCCTGCCGAGCGTGCGGTACGGCTGAGAGATCTCCAGACGGAGCTTTCGAAGCTCCGGCCGAGACCGAATACTGAAAGTGTCACATAATTTAAGCTTTAAAAGTTTGCTCCAAACGAAGGCTTTATAAACTCCACATCCTTGGGAGGGTGGAAAGGGTGAGTTTGCGCCGGTACCGAGAGACGGGAAACAAGGAGTGGCAATTCCATTGATCGGACGCTTTGAAATGAACTCAGCTAGACTCCGTCATCCGACCATTTCATGATAAATAAAGTTTGAAATCTAATGGTCTTCTCGTTCATCATACGACCTTCAGTCTTTTCCAATTTGCGTTTCATGGTATCGGATTTTTAAATCTTTGGGTGTGATTCCCATAGTAAGTTTAACAGTGGCCCCACCTGGAGGCCTTGACATTTGCTTCAAATATCCACTACTATTATTTCCACTCCTCTGGACCTGTAAGACATTTTCTGCTTTGGTATCAACGGAATTAAGCACCCTAACAATGAGGAATGCCCTTCTTACCCTTCTTTATTATCTCTACATTGAGGAGACAGTTAGATGGTACGGACGCCGAAATCTTAACATGGGGATGCGACGGCTATGATGAGTGCGTACAACAATGGAGTGAAACATGTGATACTGTTGTGGTAAATTGTTATTGAGAAGACATTTTTGGCAGTGGATATTGACCCTTTGCAGGGCGCGATGGTCCGGGTTACATCGATCGATGAAGCAGCTACAGTCGTCCGTTTTGCCACATGCAATGAGATACCCTTCACAGTCAGAGGAGGAGGTTACTCCACTAGCGGCGCATCAACGACTCACGGTGGTATCGTGTTAGACCTATCCAGGCTTCGAGACGTCCACGTAAATCCATACTCCCGGATTCTCACAGTCGAAGGTGGGGCGTTGTGGGAAGATGTAGATATTGCAGCCGCGCAGTATGGGCTGGCAGTGGTTGGAAGCACACTTAACCAGATTGGAGCTGCTGGAGCAACGTTAGGGGGAGGCTATGGGTGGTTGACCGGCCAGTATGGCCTCGCCATTGATAACATGCTCTGGGCAAGGATGATCTTAGCCGACGGCAGCATAGTGATGGCATCGGAAGAGCAATACCCCGACCTATTCTGGGCCATTCGCGGTGCCGGTCAGAGCTTTGGGGTAGCTGTTGAGTTGGGCTTCCGAGCCCACAAACAGGATCATCATGTCTTTGCGGGAACTCTGCTATTCACTGTGGACAAATTACCTGCCATTGTCAGTTTCGCCAATCAGTTCGAGACTATCACCGACGGTAAGCAGGGCTTCTATTTTGGGCTCACTATGCTGCCATCTATGGCGCAGAGCTCCATCTTGGTGGTTGTGTTCTTTAATGGGCCCGAGGCAGCCGCATACCAGTTCTTTTCTCCAATTCTGTCGCTGGAATCGGTGATGGATGGAACGCAGATGCTTCCTTACGATAGTCTCAACGGCATACTAAACCCAGTGGATGTACTAGCTCGCCGGGGAAGCCTTTCAAGGGTTGATATCAGTTATCCTGCCGATATGAGGGTGGGCCCTCGGAAGAGCCTCAGAGGTTCAAATATCACTCTCCCTCTAGATCTCGATTTTGTGCTGTCGATATACGACGAATTCAATAATGTGTTGACGGAATACCCGCAGACAAGGGAAAGCCGTCTGCTTTTTGAGATCTTGCCAAATATACAGCTCGCTAAAGTTCCTAATGATGCCACAGCATTTGCCAGTCGCGGTCCTTATTACAACGTCAGCACCCTCTTTGAATGGAGTGAAGCATATCTTGACCACAAAATTCGCTCACGACAAAATAATCTGATGGAACGGATCGCAACACGCGGGGGCATTGCAAGGCAACTGAACTATAACATGTCGAAACATGGAACCGGGTTATATGCGAATTATGCTGGTATGTTGGCCCGAGCACTCGACTGTTTCATTCACTGTCGTTGGTCCTTAATGCATGTCGAAAAGGGGAAATCGGTTGACAATTCATAGGCCATAACGTGCCTATCAAACAAATATTTGGAGAGAATCTTCCGCGTCTCCGGGAATTGAAGAAAAAGTACGATCCACATAATACATTCAGGAAGTGGCACAACCTAAACGCGCTTACTGATTCTCCGGATGACGCTTGAAGTACATGGATAGCCCGAAGCATTAATCTAACAGGTGGTAACTACCTAGGTTATGGTTGCGGCCAATGCATTGAATGTGGAAAGTGCAACGATATTGATTGTTATTATTTTTTTTTGGGCCCAAAGCTGTTCATTGTCTAGGTCGTATTCTTTTACTCGTGATCAATCGATATACAGACTGCTTCAATTACATATATTAGCATTAAATGATAGGGTCCGTTACTGTACCAAAGTAAGCCGCCTGCTACTCCTTATGCTTAGTGGAAGCTTGTCCATATGCAACCCGGGTGCGACTATCAAGAAAATGCGTCGCGCTCCGACAGAATCGGCTAGATTCGCCCTTTGCAAAGTCTGCTTCGGCAAATACATTCCACCATAGAATCACCAACACGCCGATCTAGGCACATCGCACAGCTGCGGTGAAGGGGGAACAAATATGCCGGCATTACAGAGCAGCTACAGCGCAGCCGTGGCCCTGTACGAGCTGGGAGCGCACATTTCCTAGCATTCTCTGGTCATTCAGCTCTGGCTCGCTCTTTTGTGCGCCGTGCACCAACCCAACCCCGTCCCGGCGACACAGCCATATCCGGGGATACATCCGAAGCGGGGCATCCGCGTCACCACAAGCGTACGAGCAGAGTATGGAAGGTCGACATAGGCAGGAATCGAGGTCTCGCCCGAGATACTGTATAAGATATTCTGTCAGTTATATTCTACTGCAGTATTTGGTTGGTACTCTACTTAATTATTCCGGCTGTAGGAGAATAATATAGATTATCTAACTGATAGATCTAACAGATTAGTGCCTTTTTCTGTCAGTTATTAAGGGTCGTGGTTGAGATAAGATATGTATTTTGAGTAGCTCGGCCATGAATATGTGCTCTGAGCCGATGATAAGGAACGTAAATTGATATGTTAATGTAGAGATATTTGGTTTTTTTATTGGCCCTGAGAGGCTGTACAGGCCTGAGAGGTTCGTATCTCTATATCAGAATAAGAATCAGGTATGGTAGTGGTAGATAAAATCTCTGAATAGCTTCAAATTTTGCGTTGAGGTGAGGCAGACCAACACGCCGAAGTGCGTGGTGGGTCTGCTGACCTAAGAGACGGCTACCATATGAAAATATATATATCTTCAGCATTTTTGAAAGTGAGGGCGTAATAGTGAGATATGTGATATTCTAATAATCGAAAAGCATAATTATATAAAAAGACAGGCAGAACTAGGCCCTAGTATTTAGTATACCAACCCTTAGCCTGAACCACTGCCTCAACACGTCTGCCCATAGTACCTATTATATTTTCTAAGATATCCTGGCGAGTCGAGCTCCAGGACTGTTCTAACACTTCCCATAGAAAATCTTCCTTCTTCTCATCAGATCATTGGCAACTTTTCAATATCAAGCCTTGCATTATAAATACTTTTGTTAAGAGGAAACCACATATGTTCAATAGGGTTGAGGTCCGGCGAGAAGGGTGGCCATTCCATAGAACTTATAGAATTGTCTCGTAACCAATTCTTGACACTTTTGGCTGTATAGATGCGTACATTATCTTGCATAAATATAAGATCAGGATTATAGAGAGTAGGTAATATCTCTTTCAAGACATTAAGATAGGAGGGGTGCACAGTAGTCATCATGTTTGGACTCATCTGACCATATAACCTTAGCCCAATCGGTCTCGGTATAATTTATATAGCGTAGAGCCCAGTTAAGACAATTTTTGGCTGCCTCGTTAGCCAGTTTAGGACGTTGTTGAGCTTTCTATTTTCCATTCCCCGACCCATGAATAATAATGTAGGGTGTACGGTGTGATAAAGAGATAGGAATCTTGTTCTGTAGTTGAACCTAGGATTGAAAAAGATCTCTCCTGATAAACGAATAATTAAGCCTTTATCTCGCCCAGCATAATGTATCGGACGGCCTGATCGTGGCTGGAATTCGTAAGCATCCTTACAAAGTAGACCAGTTAGGTTGATAGTTTATTCATTATGTCCATCAATCCGTTTTCGTTTCTTGGTTTCTTACTACAGCCGCAGGTTATTACTTATGCTACTTTAAAAATCCGATATTCCACATCCCTTTCCTGCCTTCTGGATACAAACACTTCCATCTACGACGAACCCTCAGTCAAATCTCCAGGTTCGGGTACTTGATTAGTAAATAGATACAGAAAGTTCAATATTTAATTGCAGAAAGTAGAAGCATGGTAACATCTATGGGCTCGGACTTGGTACCATATGAAAATCGCAAGAAATCTGGTCATGCAGAAACACAGATTTCAATCCCCGATCAAAATTCACCATACACTTAACCGCCAAAATCAGGCTTGCGGATATCAATATCATGGCGATGAATCCGCAAAGGAGCATTTCGACGTTTCCGTCTGTCTTCGAACGGTAGTCGTCGGTGCAAAGTACTATCAGCTGCACAAGGACATAGGTAAGCCCTGCAATGTAACCTATCTGTATCCGCCCTCGGGAAATTGGTTAGCAGGTCTGTGTCCCCAAGTTGAAAAGGAGATTGTGATGTCGGGACGTTCGATTTCACGCACAATAGATATCCCTGTGAGGATCCTGGACTCAGAACGAGCGGAATATACCGCGAGAAGCAATATCAGTAGGCTAGCTGGAAGCATGGCCATCGTCAGACCAAATTCAGGTTCGCTATAGTGCACGACGACTATATTATATTGAAGTACGAAGGCAACAAAGACTTGGAAATCAAGCGCAATAAAGACCATATATATCTGTTAATTTGCGTTAATTGAAGTTCACCAGAACGAGCAAGACCTTAAGTACACTACCTGGTAGTTGAGATAACGCGTTTTCATCGCAGCATCACCATTTACACGTCTGTATATAGACCATGCAAAGTCGCGATGCAACTGGAATGCCGATATCCACATCAAACACGTGCTGACTCCCACAACTACTGATATTGCTATCAGTGGAGGCCTTACCCTGGGCCAGATGTCCTGACCGGCCTCGACGAGGTCACTTTGCTTGGAAAGTTTCATAATAGTGTAGCACACATCCCTATATCCCAGTACAGAGAACACAAAATTGCAGGTATTGCACACACATAATGCGATCATGAGGATATCATGCTTCTGGTCAAGGGCAACTAATGAGAGTATCACTTCGTACACAAAACAAAATATAAAGATCGTCAGTTGGGTTGGAGTACTGTAGGACACCGGTAAGTGGATGGATTGACGCCCGAACCAGGACACCCATTCCACCAGAACAAATCTGCCTCACTGATATTAGTATTTTATCAAAGTGGTTGGAAGATTTGGAAATATTTTTAACTCACACTCCAAGTGCAATAACAAGAATAGCTTGCCCCGATCCAATACCGAGGAACACTCGTTCCCACTGCTTTTGCCTGGAATACATGATAAATATATGTGATTTGACCGATCTCGCTCAGTTTTTCAGCCCTTGCAGTGACTCCAAGGCGATTAAGAACTCGCAAGAACAGAAGCTCTTGATAAAGTCGAGAAGGAAAGCTCCATAGAAAGTTCCGACCTATGGAGCTAACACGGTGGTGTGGACACACTAGAAAATTTAAATGGTTTGGTGGCGATACTCTAGTTAACAGTTCCCATGCTCAATTCGGTGCGTCTTTGTGTGACCGCGGTCAGTGGAGGCTTTTTCGTTCTGGTAGGTGTGAATCGATACTAAACTTTAATGTACACGGTGTAGTAGATTCTCTTCAGTTGTCCAGGGTCTTAAATTCGCAATAAAACATCGCTAAGGCTATGAGTAAGGAGTTCTGCAGCTCCTAGAGCATAACGGACACTAGAATATGCTAGCTATTGCTGAACTAAATCTCAACCATTCTATTACTTATTCTCTAAATCCAGAGCTAAGCCCTTGACAGTGGATCGTCACATACTTTAAGTTGGCCTTAGTGCTTTTGAAATATCCATCTTGGGTATATATCACAGGGCTAGGTACTGCCACAAGACGCAGTATCTCCACGTTGTCCACCTTTTCGCTTTTGCCCCTCTTTCTCTCCTTTTTTAGTCCTTTTGCCTTTTTGAGATAGGGGCTACAGTTAGGATGCGGTTGCCGTTGAAGGCTGTCTAATATTTTACAGAGCTACCGAACGGAAAATTCTGGATGTTAACATAATCAGGTATTAGACAAGGGACTTGCTAGAACATTTTCGTAAAACCTAGTTATAAATGTTTTACACGCTGCAGGCGCAGGGCCTCCTTAGACTCCAAGCAGCCTACTGTAAGTCCCAACATCAGCAATGACGCAAGCCAAGCAGACGATAGCCGAAAACAAAGATATTACTTACCTGTACTTCCTATTGATTAAATACCACCAAATTACAACCTAGAAGTCCAACTCGCCAAGGACTGGCCGATTCATTTCCGATTGGAGCCCATCCTTGAGCCTTAGTACGACCTCAATACCCTTAGAGTAGCCAGGGAGCATTACTTTCCAACGCTGCAAAGAGTGGGTCAGCTCGACCGACTCGGCAAACCGGAGCCGGTCCGGTCAGGCCGGGAACCGGGAATATATCCTGACCCCATACAGGCGCCTTTGGACTTTAGCTTTTCTCTCAACAGCAGCCGATTACAGGGTTCACCGATGGATCAGACCACAGATACCTCCCCATGGTAACAAAAAGCTGGAATATTCTTCGATAACGTCGTATTAATTCACTTACAATACTTCCCAAGGCATTTCCCACTGTGCGGTACATACATGAGATGAGTGTTGTACCATCGAAATGGTCAGACATAGCAATATCGATGCCAAAGCAAAGCGGTGATCCTGATTCCAAGACCTCCTATTGAGAACCTTCCGGCCTCCAAATAGGAGATCGCCAGATCTACAGACTAGTATTCGCTAATGTAAGAGACTAATATTTATTGTTTTAGACGCTCCTATTGTGTCTCGCGATATGATGTGAAGCCTGGCAACATGCTGCATTCTGGTGTTTCTGTTGACCTATAATACGATAGTTTGTTGGAGGGAGAACCAAGAAAGTCCACTCAATAATCCTAACAGAAATATCCACACCAGCCGACAACGGCTCGTATTAGCCAAAGGGTCTACTTTTATTTTACAGCCTGTCATGTTTTATCTGTAATTTGACTGTATAGAAGGGTATGTTCGGTTGTGATTCATGCGGCAATTCATTCTTAATACTCGTATTCTCAGGGCTTGTTTTACTAGATGAATACTAAAAAGCACCTGTGCTTGATTCTTGATCCCTTCGTTCATTGAGAAGAGTGGAAGAAGGGGGAAATGTAGATATATACAAGATGTTAGTTCCTATATGTCTGTCACGAGCCTTAGCCATAACCTGAACCATAATTGTTATAGTATAGCACAGCACCCCCTTTTGTGCTTCTTAAACATGATTTTGGCAGCACGCGTGGCTACCTCAAAAACATCATCCACCCCTTCCCCTGTCAAAGAGGAGCACTCAAGATACTTTATTGCTCCTACTTGTTTGCAACTCTCAGCCCCTTGTTCGGGCGTGACGAAATTCAGCGATCGTTTCACCATGTCTTGGACCGTGGAGTGATTTTCACGAAGATCTTTCTTCAGTCCAATCAGTATGATGGGTACTCCAGGACATTGCTCTTTGGCTTCCTGCGCCCACTGTTAATCATCATCAGTCAGCCAGGCTAACTTAAGATCTATATGGAGGCATGCTCATGAAGAGAAAAGCCATAGGTCTCTATTGCACTGGTCAGAGAAACAGACCTTCTGCTCGGCATTCTTCAATGAATCAGGGGCGTCCACAGCAAATCCAATCAAGATAACATGGGTGTTTAAGTACGCTAAAGGTCGTAGTCGTTCATAATCTTCTTGACCAGCCGTGTCCCAGAGCCCCAATTCAATATATTTACCACTGACTATGCATGTTGTCACATAATTTTCGAAAACTGTAGGCGCCTACTAGTAGACCATTTCAGAGCCTGTTCATCAAAAAGAAACACGGGGGAAACCACTAACATAATGCTGGTAGAGTTTAATAGGTCAGTAGTCAGATCTATCATACACAATCAAAGGAACAAAATAAAACATACAGCTGGAAAATAGCCAAGACTAAATGCATTTAGAAGACTAGTCTTCCCGCATGTACCATCTCCTATGATTACCAGCTTCCTGCATATGTAAGTCAAGTTAACATCTTGTCATCCTCTGATGTTATGAACCAAATCGCTTCTAGGTATTCAATGAACCGTTCCTTTTTGCCACAGATGCCATTATGTGGAGCAGAAGCATGCCGAAGCAGGATAGATGACACACAGGCTTCATTGGGTCTTTTGCATGATGATGGAATGAGAGCTCCGGGTGCTCCAATCCGTCTTTTTCTTCAAGAGGAACATACCGTTTTAATATAGCTTCAGGCTGTTTCTCTGGCATATCTGCATATCGGTCTCATCGAGGGTGGGAGAACTCTGCTGTGTGTAGGAGATGGTCTGTGTTCTAGATTCGGTGATAGTAATCTGTTGTTGTGTTGATAGTAACCAACTGTATATTTTAATGAATCAAGCCACTTTACCTCTTTATGGCGAGTAGATTGGTGGATGTATAAGTCCAAGATGAATTTTTCTGCACCTCTAGGACGTTGGGTGGGTTTAGAAGAAAGGGGAGAGGACGGAAAGAAAGTAAAGTATGTTAATCAGCAGAGCTGGGTGTGGAGAAGCGTCTTCGTAAATCTCTTGTGGGAACAAGAAGATCCGAGAAGAAACAGATAAAGTAGCCCTCCCAGTAGAGTCGTTGTTTAGAAACAATGAAGCCCTGAAATGGTAGCGCTTAGATGTTTTAATAAGTTTTAACCCAAGCGACTTATCCATTATAAATCTACATGATGATACACCCCAGGTGGGCTACTTGAGTTCAAACCCAAATCCTTTATTTAAATTATCGGACACCATACGTTCTAAAAATTTGCCGGTTTAATGTGTTTGTATTACCTATGAACTTAGCTACTATTTAGATATTGACGAGACAAAATTCCGGTTCTTTACATTAACCGAAGCTGTATCTGGTTAATCGAAATACAGTGGTAGTATTTATACATCTTTAAAAGAAAGGACTCGGTGGTTTTATATTTCGTTCAAGAGTTACTTCAGGAAATCTGCAGTAGCCTCTATACTATCGATCTTTCATACTTTAAGCAGGGCTTATTGATATGATGCCGTAGGTCTGTTCCATCCATGTAAGGAAAACTATTTGGACGCGGTAAGACCATAGCGCCGTGAATCTAAAAATATGGCAAATATGATCAAGATGGACATGATCTATCTACAGTCATGTCATTTCGGGAGGTTCTGTTATCTGCATGTAGTGAGACACTGGATATAATAAGATACAATTAACGGTGGCTTTCGGCGAAGCGTGCGATTGTCTGCTCGTCAATTAGGTCCAATATTATCTGAATGAGACATTGTTTGATGCTCCTAGCCTGTTTTGGATTTGCCAAGTATGGACCCTTGACATCAGACTGTTATTGGCAGAAAACATGGCGTAATATGGGGCAGACATTCATAGCACTCTCAGTTCACTTACCTTACTGAATAGCTAAGTGAGACATACAACAGAACTTCGGACTAGATATTCGCTAGTGTAGTATTGACAATCAATTTCCTCTCCATATTTTGGAAATTTTGCAAGTTGAAATCCCCGAAACAACAAAGTGAGAAATAGACAAAAGAATTTTCACCATTGTATGGTCCCAAGATGCCTCGATCCCCACCACTTCCGTATTGGCTCAAACTAGGCTATGTGGGACTTCATAGGGAAATAGAAAGGGATTTGCTAGTTGCAAACAGTCGTAATGCTGAATCTTACAATCCAATGTAGCTAGGAATGACCCTTGTGGATCAGGTTATTGCCGAGGAATGTGCAACCTGGAGAATCACCACGATGATGTCTGTCAGTTAAGTAAACATATATTCACATGTTTCCAAACCTAGTACATTATGTCTCAAAATACTAGGTTGTAGCACAGAGCGACCAGGAAATTATTGGCGGCTGGAGGTATAAGTGAAACTTTGTTCTCCACGATCTTGGCCTACTTATGACGATTCTTCTCGATTGTCTTACACCATTTCAGAATGTGGATGGCCCCACAATGTTATTTGAAAACAATTGGTTTGCAGAGCTTCTTCCAACCTGGACGACGTCTTATTAAAGCAGTTACCCCACCGTGCCGTTGCCAGGAGCCTAAGCGGGTACGAAGATCTATGGCTCATCGTGGCGTAGCTGAAGCTCAGACCAATGGTGAATGTCTGAATGTGTAAGACAACCAACAAATGTTCCCCCCTGAAAATTTCGAAACTCAAAGGAAACCAGTACTCTTCAGCAAGATATATTGTTAAGAAAGTTTCATACGACATTTAATTGTTTTCTTGGGTCAATTGTTTAGCAGATAGGCTCAAAGATCATTTTATTTGCTGTAGGCGATGCGTAACATGCATTCCTCTGATTAATGGAAAACCCAGTAATACTAGAAATATTTCATACATTGATTCGCCTGTATGACGCACCCATATATGAACCTTGGAAGACTTGGGTTGGCAGCCCATAATGGTCCGCCCCACATCTCCCCCAACGTCCAGAGTTGGCCCACCCAGAACCTCTTGGCGTGGGGAAAGCATCCTAAAAAGGATTACCTAGAGCAAATAACTATCAAGGAAATTAATTGCTATTTTGACTGAAATACAGAGTTGAGCAGCTCGCTTGCCTATTACGTTAACTATCGTATTTGTTCTCTTCTCCACCTTATGACATTCTAAGCGCACTGCCAGTCCAGGCTGCTGGTGAAGGCAGCACAACCCATAACGTAATAGAAAGATATTTTTCACACTTTCTGTAATAATGGACACATACTATAGCATATGATGTTTGGGTCGATGACTTGATTTCACACAATTAAAGCGAGTATCAGAGATTGACACATTTAAACATTAAACCAGCCGGTGTTATTGAGGATAGTAGTCCAGGCCTATGGATGATCTTCATAGCATAGCCATTACATATGACCATCAGAGGCCACAAATAGCACTAACTAAAGTATGAGTTCATAGATCAGACCACAGCCAATCCATTAATGACATAACTCATTTGTACGAGAAGATGAAATTGCAAATACACTATTTCGAGAACGTTGTATAGAATTGAACATGGAGAGGGAGGTTATCGGTGACAACATATAGGTAAAATAGACATATATTCAGAGAAGTAGTACTGTAACAACGGCACTGACAGTTCTAGTCAAAATGCCTTCCGCTCCGGGCGCGTTGCTGGTCTCATTGGAATCGAGGGCCTACACCAGATCGCCCACAGTCCGAGCGTTTTGCGGATGATGCACCGATTAGGGGTACGGTATGCGACGCTATGCCATAGCAAAAACAATCGATATTACCACTCGGCGGTGGGTATCCTCCGCACAGGGTGTCTATGATGTGACACTCACGGCGCAATATTAGACAGATACACTCTTCCACTCTGGCCTGAGTCGGGATGGCAAATGCATGATTCAAGAGATGAACCGCGTGGGAATGTAAGCAGTCTCATTCTCGTGAAGCCATGCATAAGAAGTATCTAAGGTCCTTTTATAATAGGATCATCGACCTGTCCCATACCAGTGAGGCAACTCAAAGAGATACCATTTCTATCTCCAAGGCGCCCGTCATTTTCTCCCATTCAGCTTGGCATACAGCTTTGTATGACTAAATGAGTAAAGCCTAACAGCATCTGTATAGTTACCGATGAACTTTCCCAAATATTCACCTCTTTCATGGTTCACTTGGCTGTGTTTCTTTAAAGTCAAATGATTGAGAACGTCACAACCCACCTCAAAGTGGCCTCCATATGCAGCCTTTTTGAAAAGGTCTTCTGGGTCGCATGATTGAATGACCCCGGGATAAGTCAATAACAAAGAAATCACAGATTCATGACCACCCGCCATTGCAGCATGCATGGCACTGTCAAATTTGCCAGGAGTGAATGCATCTGCTTGATATTTAATCAGAATCTCGACAATGCTACGGAATCCCTGAAAGGCCGCTGCTTGCAGGGGATTTCCATAAAATCCACCAGAAGAATTTGGTTCAGCGCCTCGATCAAGAATATACTGCACCGCATCAGCATGACCAAATCTCGTAGTAATGTAGAGAGGCGATGCTCCATCGGCGCTTTTAATAATGAAATTCAGATATCGTCCGTGATGTGATGCTTTGCCATGCAGAATCTGTAAAATCTCCAAAAGTCCATACACACAGATCATGAAGACAGGGGAGCCGGCAACATTTTGGGTAGCACTCAGCTTAGTCCACAGTGACTGTTCAAGATCTTTCGTTTTGACCAGCTTATCGATATCCAGTACCCATTGAGTAAAGCAGATTCCATCGTCTTCCGCGACAAATTATTTTACCAATGTCTCGATGTTGAGTTTCATTGTCTGGTCAATGATGTTTGTGTAATGCTGAGCCCAATAACAAGTGGAATATCCGTGAAAACTTGCTAGCTGCGCAAAATTAGGTAACTCAATATTCTGTGTATTGAGGTTCATTTCTGATTCAGACCTGTGATATATTAGAGATACCAAAGTAGATATACAATAATATAAACGCATTTTTTGTTGATTGAGGTGTCTTCACCTTCACTATTATCCTACAGTAATTGTCCAAGGCAACGCCGGGCAGCTAAGCTCTTGTTAATAGAGATAGAATATTCAGGACACTGTAGGAGATACTCCCAAATAGAAATATATACAAATAAGAATCCTATCAAGTTATAACTGAGAACAATAAGATTGCAACACAAATAGAGAATTTGATAGACGCCGACAGTATACTGAATTGTTATAACATTAGTTATGTCTTTCTATAACGAAATATCTGCAGTACCTACTGTAAAAGTACCTATAGGAAGACTTGTAGAAACTGTATTATTGTCTTCTATATTACAAGAGGATAAAACGGCTGTGATTATTTCCGGCGCAGAAAGAGGGCATTCAGCGGCGAGTAACCAAGCAAGGATGTTCTTTGTGATCTGCTTTGAACAGTTCTTATAATCATCAATTCGAGTATACTGTGCGTCGAACATGCTCGATAGAGAGACCGGCAACGTCTGTATAGCAGCCAAGATATCGGGTTCAACCTTGAACTTCCGATAATTATATAGATACTCTAGTTGTATCGCTGGCCAGAGAAATATCTCTCTGGCTTCGCTGATAAGTGATTTTGTAAGATACTCTCGAGCGGATAAATATACCTTTTTACCCAGAAGGCGCCCACCCGCGATAACAGATTCAATCTTGTGGTAGATAAATGTCTCAATATCGGCAAAATTGTCTGCAGCTGATATACAAATTGATAGCTTATCTTGAAGCCTTTCTACAATAGCCGTATTATCACGACTTGATGTGAATACCTTGACAATACTCGAGGCTTTATTAATCACAGTGCAGAGGGCCTTCAGTACCTCTCGTGAGTTACTGTCCACTTTACCGAGTCCGTTACTAAAGATTATCGCAGGACCAGTCTTAAGTCAACGTCAGAAGAAGTTATATGCACTCCTCCTCTGTGAGTTTAGAAGATTCTAGACCGTGTGACTTTGCTATCTCCTGCCGCTGGCGGTACTTATTCTAGATTGGTTGTCGGATTTAGTTATCTAATTATATGAGAGAGAGATACTTAACTATTGTTTATAGAATAACTACAGGAGTAAGCATAAGTAATTGACTCCCTATCTTTAAACAATAGATATTTCTGGGACATATTGAAGCATATTATTCAATATATTTCCCACTTATGGCTCCAGGACCATACGCTCGACCCAACATGGATGTATGATGCCATAAGGACCTATCTTGCTGAGTTCTGTGCATTTCCCTTATTTAGTGGTTCACTGTGGTACCAATCTTTTTAGTTAATATGTAGGACATAATATTATTCGCCAACATGGGCTAATCCACATTCTTCAGAGAAACGTTATCTCCAGTAAAACAAAGGATCTAATAATTAAAGATATAATCAGGATTGCAGAGTAGGCAGACTTTGAAAAAAAAAAACTTGTGGTAAATACAAGTCGCGGACATCCTACACATAAAAGACTACTCCATTGAGACTAATAAGCACTATGAGACCGCGCTGAGTGATAATAAGATCATGTCAAATATAGAGCTGAACGAGAATCAGACCAGGGGACTTGCTTTACAAGGACTTGCGCTACTAGTACTAGTTTTCGAGCATATCAAAAGACACAGCAATGATAGAATAGTTGTCGACATTCTAAACCGGGCGCTCCTTACCTACGGAGACGTGGAAAATGTAACTACAGGGCCTTTATTTAGATAGTTTGTGCAATATAGCAAAGACCAAGCACTACAGCAAACAGAATCAGCAACATCAGAAGTGAGCTCTCTATCAGGCGATGATATTTCCCATACGGAAAGAGGGTCTGTGGGAAATACTAGAGACAATAATAATCTTTCAAGAAGTGTATTGTATGAATATACCACTCAGAGCAACGAAGCATCACCATCAGTAAAGGATAACTATAGTAAGCAAGAAGGTAAGACTAACGAAAAGCTTTTGGAAGTCTTTTCCAATAATATGAACAAATATACACATTGTGATAGTTGCGAGCAGATATTATACTTTGGAAATTATGTCAAGTACAGCTACTGCCTTAACGTACAATTTCATTCCACTTGTGAGATGTTGAAAACCGGCCTACCGTTCAGAGTATGTGATCCGCGACACACACTCATTCCAGTAATTCAACCCTGGGCCGTGCTGTATTATCTGAATGCCCCGCCCTATCTCTCCAGACGGATCGACAGCATGATACAGAGATTATCGAGATAGTAGGAGAATTAATCTTGGACGAAAACGCACTATTGGTGCGACGGAAGGAAAGAGGTGGAATGCCATGGGCAGAGATCACTGTCTACTTTCCTGACAAAAGTGCATCATTCCATCCAAGTCCACTACTCAACAAAATTACGCCATGAGCACACAACTGGAAGACAATGAAGCTGCTGATGAGAGGCATTGGAGTTGAGAGAGCCAAGGGCAAACCTAAGCTAAGTAAATGAGTCCGGCCAGCATATCCAGTTTGCTCTCAACTTCCTGCGGCGCTCGAGTTTGTTCGCTGGGCATACCTCGGTAAGGAACAGTATTGGACGACAGCTTTTTCAGTTGAACAATGAGGACAGGACGAAAGTTCTGTGGGGGTCTTTCCCGTCTTTGGGCTGTCATCCTCTTACATACGAAAGGGGTGTTCCTTCTGCATCCTCTCCTCTACCTTCTCCGCCTACAAGATAGCTCACACGACTGTCCCCAGGCGTGCCCCTGCAGCACCCAACACCCCCATTCTGACCACAGCATCAGGCAAGGGCAGCACCCGCAGTAGTCTGTATGGGATAATTAGGCTACTATTTAGTTTATCATATTATACTATATCTGTGCTAGTTACTAATTCCTAGTCTATTAGCATGACAGACAATTTCCCTATACCTGGCTTTGCGCAGCGGAATGTAAATAACGGCAGTGTAAATATTAGCATATAATCATAATACTATATGGGTTATGCAAAAATCAGTAACCCACTTTCGTTCTCAATTAATGAAGTTACTCTACGAGGAGGACATGAAACATACTAAACGAGCCTTCACAAGGAGAGGAACTATTCTGGTAATATATTTCTACCAAAGGTAAAAGAGCTGATCTAATATATTACGAATAATTAACCCACACATCGGTAGAACCTCTTCTACCTAGGACAGATTTCATAATCCGACCAAATAATAACCCCGCATGGTTTCAGCTCACCACTTCCCATTTTCCTTATATTCTCCTGAATTATTTCCTTGTTCTCTTCATTATCCTTCTCCACCCGTGCTTTTTCCTCCGCCGTCATTGGCGGCGGTAATAACGATGGATCTGGCTTCCACCATTGTTCCTGGGACACCTTTGTTCCATCTGCTCCGCGAAACATATCTTCTATTTCCTGGTCAAATGTGGTCCGATCGAGAAAGCTTTGATCAGCCTAGGTGGAAGGCCGATGGCGTCTATCACGTCACAGTCTTGTGTCAGAGTTCTGAGGACTCCATCGGTGCCAATAAACAAAGGGAGCGTTGCCGTCAGAGCCGGAGTCAAGGTTTCTGATAATCTTGGATAATTCTTTTTGGTCAGGGTGGTTGTTGGGATCGGGACCATAGTGACTGGTGGCGGGCGGGGCGGGGCAAGTCATTTCTTCTTTTAGTTTGGAAAAATTGCGACTTGACATTCCCAGGACTATTGTAAGGTAATATGGAGGTAGTCAAGCTTGATCATAAGATCGGCTCCTTAGTGTTTATATAGAAAAGCAATGACAAGGCTGTCATGGGGTTGTTTAAGTTCAGAGTAGTCATGCTAGTCACCAGCCACCACCTTGTCAATCATAGTTCAAAAACAGAAAAGTTGATGGCCCAATCATAATCTGACACCCTTGATAGAGACGACTTTAAGAGGATACTGTTACAGAATCACTACTCCTAGCTACTGACCTTATCCTGGTAATAGTACAGGTATAGATACAAATAGATATCACAGGCAGAAACTGGGGATGGGACGACTATACAATTGTAATTGCTTGGCGATGCTCTGTAGTGTCGGGCTTATCAAGATCCAACTCACCGCCAGCCAGGGCTTAAAGACCCTTCATCCCACCCCATCCGACCCTGCTAAGCCACGAGGCATCAGTTATAACACTTTCTTCAAGAGAGAGAGTATTGTTTGTACGCTCGCCACGAGTATTTCAATCTGCTGCCATATCCTTCGCATTCGATATGATCGGCAAATGCGTTGGGCACTGATGATCCTGGTTGTTCCCATTACCTTGGTCATTATCGCGATCATCATTCTCTTGTCGATATCATGCGCTCCGCTTTGGAGCGATAGTATTCCTCCCATATGCGTGCCTGTTACGGGCATGCATACCGCCGCCTACATGCAATCCACATTGACCATCGTGGTCAATCTGTACTTGACCTTAGCCCCTGCTACCATCCTCAGGAGGGTACAAGTCCAGCGGGGGAGGAAGTTCTTTATTTGCGGCCTCATAAGCCTGGGTCTCATCACCACCATCTCCAACACGCTGCGCTCCTATTGGCAAGCATTACCAGAGTAGTAGGGGCCTGTCATATAAGTCTCCGTCTATACCCCTTTCAGCCTTACATCCTTGATTAACGATGTAACCTACAAGTTAATATGACGTGGCCCACGGTGTTTTGTATCCTAGAGCAATCTGCTGGAATCATCGCCGCCTCTATGTCGACCTGCCTTCCTATCTTCAAGAGGGGGAAAGCCAAGGATGACAGCAGGAATGGACTGCTGACCGGCAGGGAGAATTATTCCGAGCGCTTAGGTCAGTATAGTGGTCTAGGAAAAGTCTTTGACTCAGGTGTCTTGCATGACTACGGCGGCTGGGGAAGAGTAGCCCATTAGTGTCGATCCAATCTGCCAAGGTGGGAGGAGTACAGAGTAGTGTATTTAGCGTGTAGGAGCTGAGCCAGGGTAACTTAATGGCAATTCTATAGGCTATGCATTCTAGGTATGATGAATATGGCTAGGTAAATGATTTGATCAAAACGAGCGGCAATTAGCGCTAATGCAGCTTGCTGGTATTGGGGCTGTTTCTCAGCGTGGCCTGATCTAAAGGACCAGAGTCTATGTACCCTGGTCAAATCGATCCGGCCCTCCTTATCTTGCTTATTTGAGACAATCACTCGCAAAAAAGCCCAAGCCCCGCGACTTCATATCCCGCAGCCACGCCGTGTTGGATCGTGTTCATCATGTCAGACATCAGAGTCTAACCAATTTAGGCGACATACTATCCGAGGCCCAAACTGGTCACTTGCCAGGAAATCGCTGCTCAATATAATTCCAAAACGTTAATATGAACCTTGACACTCGAACAGAGATGTAGAGGTATTACCTGCTGCTAGAATATACGGATAGATCAGGCCGCTTGAGTTCCGATAATGGTTAGTTGTGGACAGGTGATGTATCCTAGATGGTGGGCACATTATAACAAATTGGCTATTATAGATTTCTGAAGCTGCTATTGATTTTACTCCTGAACCAAATATTGTAAAAAGAGAAAATTTACGTTGAATCTCTGGGTAGTTATGAAATATCTTTTCTATAGGAGATAGTTGGATATCTTTAATCCGGATACTGGCTAGGTACTCTAGTCGAGTTACTGTTTTTGTCTTCTCTCTAGGCAGCAAATAGATAGTCTCTAGCTCGACTAACAAGACTGTTAAGCTTTGGAATACTACAACAGATAAATATTAAAAGATATTGGCTAGCTCCTTTAACGAGATTATTTCTGTTATAATCTCTCTAGACTATAAGCAGATCACCTCTGGCTTGACAGATATAACTGTCAAGCTTTGCGACATTACCAAATCCCTAAAAGACTTAATATATTAGGGTCGGCGATATCTTCGCAGGCCGGTTCATAACAGCAAGAGGGACCAGGAAGTATGCGCGAAGGGCCGGAGTACTCGAGGTCCAGGGGTTCCCTGCAGCACACGGGCCGATTTTGTATCGGAACCGTGATACTGACTCAGGTTTATTGGCACGTGTAATCTTCAATACCTCCCTAACAATTGTTACTATTATTGTCCTAGTAGAGTATATGATCTATAGACTGACCTGAGGGTTCTTGTTAGTGTCAGCCTGATACAACTGGCACGTAGTCTAGACAGCAGCAGTTAGCAGGCACTTTCCCAAAGATATTCCATCGCGAATCCTTGGTTTCTTACCCCATCAGGACAATCACAATAAGCCAAAGTTCGTGGTGAATTTGAAACATCTTCCATTTTCCATTTATACTCTCTCTGGCATATCTAGGCATAGCATCAGGATGTTAGTCTAGATGGCTATGAACATATATCAAGAAATAATTATGATCGAAATGCAAGTTACTTACATCATCAGCTCCACATGTTGACCCCATTGCCAAAGGGGCTGCAGCGAGAAGGAAGGCAATAGGCATGGAAAGATGCATGACGAAAGGATTAAGTGGTTTTTGGTCGGGCAAGTAAGGTCAAAAGGTCGAGTCTAAAAAGATCAAGGGAAGTAAAACTGAGGACACATATTTATATCTCAATGAATACCCACGGAATAAAAGCAAATATAGTGAGGGCGTCATGGGTCGCGTTTTACTGAGCTCAATAGTTGAGAACTTGCGTACACTATTAATTGATCTACATATATATAACTTCTGTGGGGGCCATTAGGCTGAATCCCTATTCGTATATAATATAAATATGGTTTTCTCGATGTAGATCATTGCCACTTCTCTACTGAGGCTTTTCGTGATCTTGAGTGTTATATATAGACCTAAATTGTACCTCGCTTTGTATAATATATGATGAAAGAACTAGCCTCCGATGGCGTATTTAGGGTTATGCAACCTACAAACATCGCAAAAACTGTAACTCCCTCGAGCACAGAAAACGCAGCGCGATAATTAGCGTTTATTGGAGAACGAATGATTTTGCGAGGATTCCATTTTTATCGTTACCATAAACTTCCATAGGGCCAATCATTGTATGATTCTAGTATTTCATGTTTCTTTTTTATTTAGATACATAAACAGTAGCAAAGAATTAAACGCGACGAGTGAACATACTTAAGCGCATTCTTGAAAATACTTGGTTCACCTTCTAGGGTGGAAATAGTTAAGAGATATGTGGAGCTGATGAGTAGTCCCCACTAATTATTTCAATAGCCCTGTATAAAGCTACACCAATGCACATATATGCAGGCCCTGCATATCTCTTCCGTGAGAGGTCAGGGTTAGTGAATTACACACACACACACACACGTGGTTAAGCAGGGTAGATTGGCCGTCACCTTTCACCCACTCTTCCTGTGATGGCTGAATCCTTTCCCTGACGACGCTTAGCCGAGTCAGAGCTCTAAGGAAACTCTATCGGTCATGCCCGGCTCATTTGTTTATTGATTGGTCACCTATTTCACCACACCGCTCCACGCGTTCTGCAGCAAGCCCGCCCAAGAGAGAAATGATGATCACGACAAAGCCGCATGTGGTATGGATACACAACAAAGATATCCCTCAGCTGAGATGAATGGCTCAGGTTGCATTAGTGCATTCTTACTGCGACCAATGAATATATGCTACCAACGACACCAAATTTCCCGCAAGCCAATGGATTACTTGAGGCAGATCTCAGGGAGTCCATAATCTCTTCCGAGTCAGTCATTTTATATGATAATAAATCCCTGGTCTCCATTTCAAAGGCCTGTGGATCAAAAACCTCGAAAACTTTCAATCCACAACCTCTATCGGCAACGACTACAGGTCGGGGGTTATCCTCCAACAGAACAAAATGAAGGATCTCTACAAAATGGCGATCGATGAAGCCACGATATTTTCTGAAACAGATAGCAATGGCACAATTCTAAATGTCAACGATCTTTTCTGTGCAGCGTCAGGCTACACCCGGCTCGAGCTTGTCGGTCAGAATCACCGCCTAGTCAATTCACAGCAGCATAATCCTGCTTTCTACCGAGGAATCTGGGCCTCCGTGGCAAACGGATCGTCTGGAGGGGCCAAATATGCAATAAGAGAAAGGACGGCACCCTATACTGGGTGTCTTGCACAATCATCCCTATCGTGGCGTCTAAGGTATCTCGCAGTCTAGAAGATGGGCGGTATCAAGACGTGTACGACGGACCTCTCCACATCCTGAGATACGTTTCTGTATCATTCGATATTACCGAGTCAATTCAGGCAATAGCGGCTCTGCAATCGCAGGCCTCTTATGACTCATTGACTGGGCTCCCTAATCGCGCATCTCTACTAAAGCATATAGAAGACATACTATCTTCAGCTCGCCGCCACCATTGCAGACGCTTCGCCGTGGACATGCTGGATATGAATAAGTTCAAGCAGATCAACGATATGTACGGTCATTGTGTCGGAGATGAATTGTTAATTGAGACGGCGAGGAGGCTCAGAGCCACCTTCGACAGGAGGACATGGTGGCCCGCCTTGGTGGGGACGAGTTTGTCATTGTGTTTGATGACGCCTCTATGACTCCCAATCGTTCTTCTGCGCCAATCAACGTGGACCGTGTGCCGAATGGGACCGAACCTCTCTCCGCAATTTTGGATAGGGCATTCAGCGAGTCCTTCCCTTTGGGCGATGGCATTTTCTTAGATACCGTCAATGCAAGCCTGGGAATTGCTGTATATCCGGAACACGGGTCAGATTCTGGGACATTGCTGAGAAATGCAGACAGGGCAATGTATCAGGCTAAGCGCAAAGGCCAAGCATGCGTTCATGTCTTTGACTGGGATATACGGAGTAACGTGTCCGGTTAATGAGCGCCGTGTTTCCTAAATTTTGGGCGTGGTCGAAAAGATCGCTAAACTAACCACCCATTAGGATCGAAAGGAGAGGCGAAACGCATCAAAAAGAACTACAACGAGTCAAAGCTGAGATTAAGGAGGCCCTAGCATAAGTGCAGTCGGAATTTAGAGACCTCAAGAACTCGGCAACCTTAATATCGCAAGGTGGTCTTAAATAAGGCTCACAGTTTAGTTATGAAGAGATATTGAGGAGCTTCGCTCCCTACGCAGCGAATAATGTGTCTCAGAAGTCAAGTCGGTCCTGCGTTATCTACAATTTAAGTTCTATTTGCCGTATTTAAGATGATTAAGGTTTGGAGCCCTGGGACGCTTGCGCATCAGAGCAACTAAAGGAAGGATTGATCGATCCGTCAGATGGAGGAATAGCTTCCTGCGCCTCATCCTCGAGAATTTCGATTTCACCGCCACATGCCGCATTGGCTGGCCAGTCACATTCTTTTTCTTTATCATTCCACTGCAAACCAGAAGGGCAGGGCATCACCACCGGGGTTCCGGTCGTTTCATCGGCGTTGACAATGCACTGTATGAACGTGTCGCAGTTGTGGGAATTTGCGTAGAGACAGTCTTTGGGACCTATACACTTTGTCGCTCTGATGTCGGACTTCGGGCATTTGAAGACACTGGCTGCTCCGGCCGAAGCCAGAACGAGTGGAAGAGCGTGCAATAGGTGCATGACCTGCTCAAAAATAAATTAGAGTTCCTTACGTACAGGGGGAGTCGTGAGGCGGATACTCACTATGGAGTAAACATGAAAGATGTCTGGGATAAGGCGGCTGGAAATTTGAGAGAAGCGTCTATTCAATACACAGGCTAGTCAACCCACAATCTCTCTGTACACAGTAGCACAACTGCCGATCTCCCGAAGAACCCCCTTGCATACCGCCGGAAGCTAATAATGGAGGCTGGTATGGAGCAATGGTTTTTAAATAGCGTGAAGATCTTGAGAATTATCGATCCACTCACGCTGATCTCCACCTAACAGAGGCATGTATACTTCGGGAAATTTCGGCTACCCCGTATAGATCCATCATTTACCCTTGTTTATCCTTGGCCAAGATCAGATAGATCCTTCTTTTGCATTTTAACTAAGAATGTGGCTTAGAGCTACGAACCGCGATCGACGGGAAAATTTACTAATTCAAGAACGGCGTTGTTCGGTAACTCTCGATAGGTATTTCGTCGAGACATGAAGCGGTAACCTTACCCTAGCAATGGCTACTTGTCGGAGCAAGCTATAACAGTAATGACTAGTAATCCTAATAGGCGAATGAGGTTGAGGATAGGAGCAAGCGGAACCAATGTTGGATGCAAAGGTTGACCGATTGAAGAAAGAACGAATGTCATGGGGCAGGTTGAAATACCCCATGTATGGCTAAAGTACACGGTGTTACGACAACTATAATGTCAAAGATACCAACTTACTATACAAAAACACAAGGGAAAGTGGATCACTGAGTATAACTCTTGTCTTAGAGTTAAGTTACTCTACCTCTCCATGTCTCGACACTATTACAGTGGCACCGCAAAAGTCTGACTCCCCCAAAGTAAAATTGATCCTATGTGACCAGAAACACTCAACCTAAAAAGGAGTCTTTGCTCATTTTGCCTGCAATTATCAAAACGGATCCCTGCGACTACAAAAAGAACCCCTGCGACTACAAAATGAATTCCTGCGACACTTAAATGGTCCTTCCGTTCGTCCCGAGGCAGGAACTGCAAGCCAATTGAGGAATGCGAAGGACATGTAGAAAGAAGCCACTGCAGAAAAGGCTCGATTTGTATTTGTAGTCTTGGGTCACGGGCGGGCCATTGATTGGGAACACATTACACTCCATAAAATTTAGGTGCAGTGATGAATTAGCTTCGAGAACGAGTCTTTTTTATGGAGTAGCCATTAAAAAAAACAACGTATGAGCACAGCGTGGCTGCGCTTTGTTCTCGCTTTTTGTTACTGTATATCGGAAGATAGTTTTCTATGATCACATAATGCCTGTAGGGTACCTGTACTGTAGAGTACCGAGAGTTTGACACTGTGTGCAGGAGAGGGGACTCCGGCCAGAGTGAAGACCCCAGCAAGAGTGAACACTCCGGCCAGACTGAACAATGGCAGGATTGAAGACTCCACTAAGAAGCTCCTGATTGGTCCGTCACTTTTATCCCTTTCTCCACATTGGAGTGATGGAAAGAATACACGGGTCCAGCGATCAAGATTTACATCGCTCATCCTAAGGTGGCCTCGAGCCTAGACCTTCAGTATACAGTACTATAGCGGCTGCGGAACTTCCATTCCCAGCGGAGGATACGCCGCAGGTGGGGACCAGGTGCTTTGTCACTGGCGGTTCGAAATACTATCTGGATTTTACACTCTCAAGATATTATCCCAAATAGGTATGGATATTAAGATATGAAGTTGGAATTTATCGCGTTTAGTATTGTATTTGGGGGTGGCCGGGATGGCTGTGAATTACGCTATGTAACTCCGTACTGTAGCGAGACACCGAGTATTTCCGAAGCTGGAATACCTTGTGATCTGCATGGAGATCAGCACACGGACCAACCAACCTGGCGATCAAGGGATAATCGGACGCCATTTCTAATATTTGTCTAGGTAGAGAACCCACCGATTCAATTAGTGATGCCAGCTCTACACACCAAGGCCGCCTGTCGCACACCGGATTCTACAAGTGGAAGATTTTAGGCGATCTTAAACACTCTTTGGCTAACATTGATATATCTCATAATAACCGACCCAGTATGTATTTCCCGAACCGGCAGCTACGACGTCGATCTCTATGATTGCAGAAGCACTATCATTGGCAGCTCTTGCTGCTTTAAAAACCATTAGGTACGTATTCTGTATTCGAATGGCCGCTTCATGGTAACTTCCCACGTGATATTTTCTTTAAAATCTCCGCCCATCTCAATTCCAGTACCCTAACACCGACACGCCTGTACTTTGCCAATCAAAACTCCCATCATGAAGTCCGTAAAGGCGCTCGGCAATTTGCCGTACTGCATTCTCTTGATCGCCCAGTCTGTGAGTGCACTTGTGGGAGGGACTGATGCATCTGCGAATGATGCACCATTTACAGTCGCCGTTATCTCGAGTGGCTGGTTCGGTGATTCCTACATCTGTGCTGGCTCATTGATCAGCCCAAAAACTGTTCTCACTACAGCTGGATGTGCCGATGGATCTTCAGCATCTTCGCTGAAGGTACGTGTGGGCAGTCTCGACCACGCAACTGGCGGCAAGCTGAACCAGGTGACGAAAATCATCAAACATCCTAACTATAACACCAATACACGGGATTCTGACTTCGCCGTTCTTCATCTGACGTACCCGGTCATGGATATCAAACCTGTGGCAATTCCCGAGCAAACTACACTCACAGGGGCCCCTGTAAGTCTTTACGGTTGGGGGCTCACTGGCAAGCTGTTGAATCAGAAACCCCGAAAATTGCAACGGCTTGATACCACTTTCATCTCAGCCAATGACTGCAACCCAATATGGTCAGATGTCAATCCGGTGACCCCTACCATGAATTGTGATGCAGCACCGGAGAAGCACCAGGGATCCTGTAACCATGACCAAGGGGGTCCAGTTGTTAGCGATTCCGGTGAATTAGTTGGCCTCATGGGGTACTATGACTATTGTGAGCCGCATTCGAATGGTCGTCCTGATGTCAATAACGACCCGCTGAGCGCATCGGATTGGATTGCTCTTAATACTATCTGATTAATCATATTGAAAAGTGAGTCGTGAACAGAATCGTGTGTTGCCTTCGTTCGTACTAAGCCTAACTCTAATAGATCGGAATACTTCCGTGGCCTAAACTCGGTGAAACGATAGGCAGCAAGTATCTAGCCTTTTCTCAGGTTAAAGCGAGCACAGTCACAGGCATTCCCAGTTGAGCCTTGAAGTCAATAGTTCAGGAAGCTTGGAAAAATCACAGTGGAATCTACAATCAAATATAAATACAGTAGTTGCTTCACAATATAAAGTCGCCAAGTTCTGAACAACGTTAAGCTCGAATTTTGGGCTGCTCTCAATAACGTAAATTGAATTTAATCAAGACCTTTTATCCACAGCAAAGAGTAACTGAGTATTGGAAGTACCTCTAATTGCCTCCGACCTTGAGGAGCCTGCGAAGACAAGAAGCCGCACGAAATGAATCCCCGGACCGTTGTCAATCTCTGCACCTTGTCTGAGAGCTTCGCTCGCTATCTAGATCTTGTGAACTCTTCATTGCAATAGCAGCGAAAGCTCACCAGAAGTCCCACGTCGACTGTATCCTGGATCGATTCCGGGAGCAGACGAATCCCAGGGATAGACATGTGATTGAATTCATCCTATGCACTTTTGCTTGCGGCACCAACATGGGTGGGAAAGTTAAGTAATATATCAGCTAATCAATAGATCTCCCTCAGGGCTACCTTGTAAATAGCATACAGACCTATGCCAACTCTAGACCGCGAGACATGCAGGGGATTCAGTAACGTGCAGCTCCAAACGTGCGGTGACAGACTTTCGTCTTCGCTCATAGTTTCACTCGGTGCCTCGCTGAGCACACTATCCCTTCAGCAGGAACAGGCGGCTCTCCAGCATCCAATAGGAACTGAAGGTTCCCAGTGTTGGAGTTCAGCGGCGTTTCAGTCGAACCTCAATACTTCTCAACTCAGATCAGGTTGTTTGTCATCCTATAATAACCCATTCTGCTGCACTGAACCAAGGCCATCCTCTATCATGGATGTCTCCTTTTACATACTTCTCAGTAGATCAAATGGGCCTTCTTAATTTACCTTGCGAAATTTTGCTCGCCATCGCAGAGCAATGCGATGGCCCGCGAGATATCCGTTCATTTGCATGCATCACGCGCACAACCTACAGCATCCTGCAAGACCTGGTCTATCAATCTTGTGCCTGACAGAGAAACTGTTCGGCTCTACACTACGCCGCAAAGTACGATAACCATGACACTGCAAAGTCACTTTTAGGATACGGGGTAATTATCAACTCCACGCTTAAATCAAGCACTGCTCGTCTAGTTGTCGCGGCATTCGGGTCAGAGTCCGTGATCGACCTACTTCTGGCTAAGGAAGATATTGATGTGAATGCCCGAAATGCGCATGGAGAGACCGTATTGTGGCATGCTGCGTATGCTGGAAGGATGTGCGCCGTAGCTAAGCTACTGCAACGTCGGGATCTTGATATTGATTTCCCTGACACTTTCCTTGGAATGACGCCGTTCGCGCTCGTAGTAGCATATGGGTATTTGGATATTGCGGAAGCTCTTCTTAACTCCGGCAGGGCGGATATCAATGCTCGAGACAATCAGGGTAGGACTCCGCTCCATCATGCGGTGATCTCGAAGCAAAAAGAGTCGATGTTACTTCTTCTCTCTAGGTGGCAGATTGGTATCCATATGCAGGACGAGAATAACTGCACGCTATTCTGGTACGCTGCTGGGTGTGGAAATTTGGACGCGGCTCAACTGCTCTTAATGTACGGAGCCAACCCTAACACTCCTAGGTCAAACTTCATCACTCCGTTGTATAATGCTATTTGGGAACGAGACAGAGTCATGGTGAGCCTGCTACTGGGCCAGAGCGATATTAATGTGTCACTATATATTGGAAGCATAGAGCGTGCTCAACCACTGGTTGACTGCTGCGGTTTGTGCAGGAGATACAGAAATCCTTAGAATGCTACTTTGCCGCGGAGCGGAGGTGGATACCTACAGGTATCGTGGTTATCGTCCCCTTCGACTGGCAGTACAGAGGAGGGACTTGTCCATGGTCAAGTTGCTCCTCAGTCGCGAAGAGATCAAGATCAATCAAACCGGTCGAAGCGGGGATGGGTTTAGAAGACAGAAATTATCACTTCCTGATTAGCGTTGCTTGCCCAGCTGGTATATTCTTCTAGCCCTATAGTTTCGTTGCTTCGTTTCTGATCCAGATACAGGACCAGCAAACTATCAAAAACTCCATATATTAGACATGGACAAATACCTTGGTTTCTGGAACCTTATGGCCTATGATTACTCCGGTAGCTGGGATACCACCGCTGGCCATGACGCCAGTATCTATGCTTCGACTAGCAACCTATCTAGCACGCCCTTTAACACTGACCAGGCCGTCAAATACTATATCTCGCAAGGAGTAGCCGCCAGCAAGATTGTTATAGGTATGCCACTCTATGGGCGCTCATTTTTGAACACTAACGGGCCTGGTACTTCTTACACCGGCGTTGGAAGCGGTAGCTGGGAGAAGGGAGTATGGGACTACAAGGCGCTACCCCAGCCTGGGGCAGAGGTTAGCTACCTTGAACAACCTATAGCTAGCTATAGTTATGCTTCGTCGCAACGGAAGATGATTAGCTATAATGACCCTCAAGTTGCACGAAAGAAGGCAGAGTATATTATGTCAAAAGGTTTGGGTGGAGGGATGTGGTGGGAAAGCGGTGGGGACAAGAAAGGCTCTAATAGCTTGATAACAACAGTATATGCCTGATCCAGCTATTTCTCCTTGCAGGGTTATCGTTAGCTAGGGGGTTTGTTTACTTACCGAACATTTTTCCCTTAGGTTGTTAATAAATTTGGCGGTGTCTGCGCTCTGGAGCAAGTCCAGAACGAGCTGAATTATCTGTCATCCTCTTACAATAACCTAAAGGCTGGATTTCCTTCCAATTAAGAGGCCGCTGTTAATTCAGTCAAGAGAATTCACGATAGCGTCTATTCCGCTCGGTTACTAAGGCGCCTATGGAGGAACGGTCGGTTATGTATAAATAAAATAACATTTGTTTTGAATGAATTAACTACGGATTCTTTTTTACTAGTATAAAATCTAAGGACTTGTAGTATTTTCTGAGAGAGCGGTTCGTAACCACTGTAGAATCTCAAGTACATTTTATTCTTTTTACAAACCAAACAGGACGCTATGCCTTGGACTGCAAATTGAGTACCGTTAGAGAATATCCATATCCAAAAAACCTCTTCTAGTTAGGTCTCTAACTCTTATATTTGTCAAATACATTAGTATGCAGTTCATTGTTCACGTAGCTTGACCGCGTGGCTTTACATTATCGCTGATGCTTTACCTAGAACTTAAATATAACTGTCAAACGGCGTGTTCTGTTTAAGAGTATCGTGCGAGAGGCCGTAGCTGGGGCTCTTGGAGTCTGAAACCTATCCCACGTGAGGCTATCTAGACGTCACGAAGTGAGTAAACTATAACGCTCACGGTTTTTATGGACAGCATATGCCACTTCACTAGCGGGATCACCAGAGTAAAGGTACGGAAACCTGATTCCTCACGTTTTGAAAAACGTTGGAAGCATTCTAGCTGTGACGGGATAAATGGAATATAGGAACAAAATCCATTAATATACATATAGGACCAGATTCGAATTACTAGATAAGCCACACAAAATAAAGAACCAAGTCTTAAATAAGGCCCAAGTACAGGAACAATAACAAAATAAACACCGATTAAGACTCTCACTTTTGCGAAAAGAGCAAGTAAAAACTTCTTAAGAGAACTATACCTAGAGCCAACGATAACCACAATCAAACGCCGGGATCCTCAAGACTTTGCTCCAAAACTTCCTGAAGATAACGTGTTTCGTCACGGTGAAGACTGACTTGGGGATTTTGCGGCCATCCGAAGTAAATCTTCAGTCTTGTATCCACTTACAAGAACGGGCTCAAAAACACTGGGAAGTTTCGCGACAGTATGCCATTTAACTACCTGTCTATAGAAGTTATTGACAAAAGTTTCCTAGCAACCTGAAAATAATTTAGTCTAAACCAACATTTTCAGTGATCCGCACAGGCTGACCTTGTAGCATGCAGTCAGATCTTTCTGGGCTTCGGAACAGGCCTGCTCTGTCATGTCGACTACTACCTGCCGCTGAAGGGAAGTCACAAGATTCTCAGTGTTGTCGGCGGAGTTGATCATATAGAGCTTGCCATTCCAGTCGCTGTCGATAATACGTCCAATAGACCCCCATCTCTGCGCTCTTTGTTGAAGCTCTCCGCGTCTATCTGTACGAGGAATATATTAGTGTCGGGTGCTTCAAATTATAAAAGCGAGTTGAAGAGCATTACTCACCCTATAGTACTCTTTATACAGCCAAGCTTTATGATACGAGATTATGTCACGCAATCCACCACCGCCCCTCCCGCCTATGGTGGCATAGACCGTTATAGGGATCCCTTTGTTCTTTCCCCCGTAATCATTCATTGCGGTATAGGCGAACCAGTAGGAGTTATTACCAATAGGTTTGTACGTCCTCCCATTTTTGCTCACTCGCGAGATGGTTTCAGCGATGCTAATAAAGCTGGGCTTCTTGTCGGTGTACATGTCAGACTCTAAAGGGAGAGGAAGGTCATGTGGACCGTTCTATCGGCCCTTTTCGCCCTTTTTATCAAAGCCAATTGTCACTCCATCCACCGAGTCACGGCCAAAGGTGATTGGATTGACACTCGTGGTAATGACGTCGATGCTACTCTTTGGTACTCCACACTCCGCGTAAACACGCGCTTGTTTATTTGACAATTCATCCTCAACGATAAATTGTATGTATTCATGGCCCCAAGCTGAGTCAAGATTTTTGACTCGGGTTAGACTGACGACACGAAGAGATTCGTAGTCTTGGTTTGTATTGAGAATATGCTCGTACCATTCCTCTGGCAAGTAATGCTTCACTTCATTCGAAAAAACAAGCGGCATCGTGGTAGACATGGTAAAATAGTAAAAGTAAATCGTATAATTGTCCAAGAATACAGTACAAAGTATTCGAGTAGGACTGTGAGCGAAATCTCCTTTGATTTATAGTAAATTTCAAGTATGAACCTGCGCCTTAAACCCGCATATCGGGAACAAGTAGAGCTCTTCTATCGGGGTGGAGCTAATACTGTACGATTGGAGCATTTCACTTCTCCCTCGGCGTGGTGGATTAATGCGTGTGAATATAGTGACAGAATAGATAGGCGTCTTGAATGGTCAGATCTCGCATATCTTCTTACAAGGTCTGCTCGCCAAACCGTGTGCTAACTAGAGGGAGCCCGTAGAGCTTTGCGATGCTTCCTTTTACTTGGAGGACTTACTGATACAAGTCTATTTCCCGATGAACGAGGCTCAGGGCTTCGTGCAATCTCCGAAAGGGTTTGAGTCCGAGCACCGATTTATTGGCAAGAAAATCAACACGTCACTCCAAGTTCTGGTTCGATGGCGGACCAACATCCACCATGACAGATTTTCCATGAGTATTCATATCAGCCTGCATGCCATTAGCAGTGCTAAGAACGATTATCTCAAATAGGGTCAAAAGTACAATTATCACCCAATTACTCCTTTTCTGTAAATAGCTTGGATCTGATATAATGAGTAGTTGCTGGCCTAATGGAGGGACGCGCAGTGTGGCCATTTTGTATAATATGTACCTTCTAGGCTATTGTGGCTTCCTATTGAATACCCGCTCTTCGACTAACTTAAAACAGATCCTTGCCCTGCGACCACCAAAACGGATCCCTATCTGCAACCACCAAAAAAGATCCATGCTTAGAAACTGTGAACTCCAATCCTTTCTCAAGAGTCGTGGGTTGGCGGCCGGGTAGTTCCTCCCAGATATACAATATTAAGATGTTCTTTGTGCTTTAGGAAATGTTGTCCACAGGGAACTAAATTAGTATCGGCAGGGATCTGTTTTAGTGGTTGCGGCGCATTCGCAGTCCTGTTTTATTCGCAGGTTCCGTGGAGCTAAACAGAGAATTTACCTGGATAAGCAATAGGCGTATCGTAATCCACTTTCCACTTTTGAAGCCACCAAAATGGATCCCGCTGCTTGACTAGTGTGATCTCCAGTCAACTGTCCAAGTTTTCTATTGTTTACAGCTTAGTAATTCCTATTGCCCTCCTCAGATATGTAATAGAAGGGCTTTTTTGGTGCCCTGAAGGATTGATGCCTGCAGGTATCCTTTTGACTAGTCGCAGGGATGTGTTCCAGTACCCAGAGAGATAAAACATGGCGCATTTGCAGTTCTATATCATTCAAGAATACTTCACTGTCTAAGGGGGACCTTCACTGTGGCTGGACAAACTTACTGTGTTCTACTGTATATTGTAACGCCACTTTTCACCTTTTGTCACCGGTATACGTTGGGTTTTGGGTACGAGTCTGTGGATCCACTCCAGGTGCTTAGAAGTCTTGTTCGCTATTTGAGTATACTTGTATTGTATTTCTAATGAATATAGATTGAAAGCGGCGAGGGAACAGCCGCCACCGTACTCCAACGACTACGCTCCGAGACTATTTCCATCCCAGGATTATAGTCCCGATGAAGCAGAAGTGCTGCCAATAAAATCGCTGCGATGTACGATCTGCCATGGCCATCGATCTGCCTGGTATCACAGAAGACACTCGAGTGATCCGATCAGATTTCCAGCGGTAGGAGTTTGTTCTCGTCGACGAACGAAATGCAAGCTATATCAACCGAGATGGAGCGCCTCTGCCGTGGACTTGCTGGAGGAGGAATAAGGACCGCCGTCTGATGACTGATCGCAATTAAATCCATCTTCTCGTCAAACAGCAAAGCCTCCATATCCATCCGTCCATTCAGAATGCGCTTGCATTCGTTTCGCAGGTAAAGCCAGCGAACGCCCTCAGAAGGCAGTCGTTGTTGGATCTCAGTAGACAATGTCAACGAGACGGTGACCATTCTCGCCTTGAGCCTCTTGGAGACGTCATCCTCCAGCGCTCTCCAGTCCTCTCGACCTTCCTCGCGCGCCTTCTGCTGCAGCTCGGCAAACTCGAGCGTGGCTGCTATGCTTCCTGTCGATGGTTTGCCTTCTATGGGCGCGAAAAGGTTCTCTTCGACCATTGCCAATCCCGATGTCTGAGGGGAGCTGCAACGTGGTTGAAGGGCCGCTGGATGGCCGAAAATCTAAGGCCTGGGACAAACTCGTGGGAGGAGAAGTAACCATAATGTATGTCCAAGTCGCTTTAACAAAACCTTGCTCTGAATCGCAACACCTGGAATACTTTGAATATGCCTGATATACAAGAGCAAAGGAAAAGAAGGGTTAGAGACTTGCACCTGAAATACTAACGCACTAAAGGAACAAAGGGACGAAAGAAACAACCCTGTCTGCCCCCTGTCTGGCTTACGAAGGCCCCCCCCTCTCTCTTCCTTTTTCCTTTTTTTTTTTTTTCTACTGCGAACCGCAGGTCAACTATCTGCGTCTTTATTGGATCATTATCGTACTTTTTTATACCCGCACGTGTGGTCAATCTGCAATCCCGAGAAATCCCGGTGCAGATTAAACTATTTTAGTTTGAGAGAGAAAATCGGGGATTAAATTAAATGCGGGGTCAGTCGACGATACTACTCGATCTGTCCAACACCGACTGTACTGTACTTCAATTTCCAAGCTACTCTTCCCACTCAACGCATTATGGAGGCAACAGGTTGATCTTGGGACAGTGGAGTCCATCAAATGTCCAAAACAAAGCATACTCGTAAAGGATAGCCAAATCACGACATGGCTGTGCAAGGTGCAAAGCCAGACAGGTCAGTCGCAACTCGCTTATAGTGATTGTTATGTTCGTGCCTTTGACTTTGGTAGATTGAATGCGATGAGAATCGCCCGGCCTGTAGGAACTGTGTGAAACTTGGCTGCCAGTGTCCCGGGTTTCACCAACAGTTGCGCTGGTCAAAGAAGCATGAGCGGTTCCAGACGACGTTGCACACTGGGACAAGTCATGATCAATCTAAATATGGCTCTGCTCCTCCCACCGGATGCAAAGCGATTCAGCACGATAGCCTGGCGCGTAAATCAACGAATCTCTCAAACACCTCGAGTCCAGCACGCGGCGAAGTCGATCCCTGGGCTGTGGACGCTGATTTCGACTGGCGAACTACGGTTCCACCAATATGGGAAGCCCATAAATCTCAGTTCCAATGCACAACGGAATGGTAGTTTAAACTTGCACTCCACCACCACCGGCAGTGTTTCCAATGTGTCGCACGATCGACTTGCTATGCCAGGTGTAGGGATCTTGAAGACCCCAATCCATCTACCAACCCGGGTTGGTCGAGTACTGGTTTCGCTACATTTGTCCAATGCGCTCCACTTTTGACTCGCAGGTCAATTATAATCGTCAATTAGCTTGGAATGCATGGACCACGTCAGAGGCTGTCTTTTACACTATACAGGTCATGTCCGCCGCCTGCCTTTTGGACACCATGCCTCAGCTCAGAGAGACCTTACCATCACTGAGGGAACAGGCTGCTACAGCCATTGATCAGGGCATATCTCAAGTATTGACTTCTCAGCCACCGATAGTCCCAGCTGATTTGGTCTTCACAGTGTTTGCATTGGGTACCTCGTTGCATTGGACTACCCATGCAGTTCTAGAGCATCCGTGGCTGGAAGCGGCTCGCAACTTACATTCCATTTGGAGAGTACAACTCTCGGCAACAGAGGCCCTGCTACACGCATATTTCTCTCAGGCGTTAACCTACTAGGAAAGGATTCTCAGCTCAGTGGGCCGTGGCTCAATCGCCGCCAAAGTTGATAGACTACGGGGACAATACAAAGCCAGATTTCAAAAAGTGCTGCATGTGCAGGACAATAATTGCGATTCCCTCTGCAACGACACACTACCATACTATGCAGACCAGGCCCTCTTAGGGACCCGACCCAATTCTTGGTGTGGCGTCTCGAACGAGGTGGTCGATGTCTTCGGACAGGTATTGGCTTTCTGTCGCAGTGTGTGCCAGGAGGCAAAGAACATTGATTCCCTAGTCATTCTTATGAGAAGCAGCTGGGCTTGTGACATATTCTTTGCGTGCGATTTGCGGACAGAGTTGCTGGCGATGGATTTCAGCACGCTCATCCTCATGGAAGAGACACAAGGGTTTTCCCGTCCAGACGCGGGACGATAATACGCCCATTTTTCACCTGCTACAAACAGCTGAAGTATACCCCCAAGCCGCACTTTTGCAGTTGCACGTAACGTTTAGTGGTCTTTTCATGATACCTGAAGAAAGGCATGGTGACTTCATTATCACAGATGCACTGCCGAATGACGAAATAGGCGATACCGTCGTGAATGAGCAATCTCGCACAGAGTTCCTGCTTACATTAGCCCTGCAACTTGTAGCAATTCTGGAGCAAATCCCTGCCGATTCCGGTTCTAAATCTATTCATCACATGCTTTACGTTTCCGCAGCCGCGGTCCTGAGATTCGACACATGTGCAGTACCACAAGGTGACCATATGGCTGGAGCACCCCAAGAAGTTGCTAGCCTCTCCTGTGTCCCTGCCTTGGAACCATCTGTCTTACAGATGCAGCAGCCTTTGCGCGATGCTGCGTGGCCGGTGTTGGCCCTGCCCGAAAACCCGTATCAAGGCACCCCAGCGTCGTCATCATGTACCCCAGGTACATTCATTCCGCAATCGGTTTTGGAAGTATCCAAAGCGAGACGCCTTATCTGGGCCCTACTAAGTAGCCTCCAACACATTCTTCCTCATAGAGCAAGTGGGAGTATACTACGGCGTCTTAAGGCCATATGGCTGGAATACAATACTCGGCAACCAGGTTGGCCCAGTGTTAGTTGGTTCAACGTATTAAGAGAAACTGGATCAGAAATGATGCTTTGGTAATAGATATTGGTTACAAGACTAGGGTGGTCTATGGTCCGGATTTTAGTTTGAAGTCTAGCCCCCGGCCTCGACCTAGCAAAAGGCTTCTTTCATCACAGCCTATGAATAGGCGGCCCATTTCCCCGCTGACAGAATGGGTTGGACTCATCCTACAACTGATGTTAAACGCTCGAGGAGGGACTCCCTTTCGAATAACCAGCCTGTACGGGGCTAGTACGTTTCATACTATATCCCTAGTTTTGGTCGGATAATGTTCCTACGCTTCGTTCCGTTTGTGATCAATATAAAAGAATTACACCCCCTAGTAATGAGAGTTTCTCTGCAATTCCGAGCTAGACTTTTCATCTACTGGGTACGTATCAGCATTGGCTGGTAGCTCTTGTAGAACTATCTAAGAATGGGGCTGGCGTCAAAAGGATTTAGGGTGGCTTACAAGTCTACCGGTCCAAGGCAGTTTACTAGGGTTTATAGCCAGTCATGGATAGGGATGGTGCTGCAGTAGCCATTCCAAGGTTCGACGGAACGGTCGCCATAGTTCTGTCGCTACCCTCTTGGTCCATCCTGCACTCATCGAAAGCTTTACCATAAGCAAAGAATCGACAGGAAGATCTTTTCACTCAAAGGCCTTACTGAAACGAAGTTTCTGGCATACTGCAACCTTCAACATGCAACAGTACTTTGTAAGCACAACTGGTCTTCGCGGTCACTATGAACACATTGCGGACGTGGCAGACAATGTAGTAGGTGACGAGCACCATAAGGTCAACTATAACCTTGCTTCTTGAACAGACGACGGCAAGTTCCGATACAATGTCAAGTAGACAGAAGACAAGGATAAGCCAGAGTTATACGGCGCAAAAGAATTGTGAAATGGTGCCCTCCAGGCTACGGGAATCCCATCTCAGATACCCCTGGATGCTAGAGCTACCGCAGAAACCTAACAATTGCTACCATGGACCGACGAGAATAAATTCACCGTGGATGAATGTTTTGGACCTAATGCATGACGAATTAAACATAGGAATATCGAAGTACTCTTAGATATAGATGGTATGGCGATTGTCTCATACAGCCAGCCTTCAATACATTAATGTATGGAAGCTTCAAACAGTAAAGTTCCGAGAAAGTGTATTTCATTCGACTAAAAGCATCTCCAGGAAGGTTTATGTCTACAATACCCACCATAACATATCGCTCAACAGACTATTGTTGTGCTTCTATTTAATGCTGGACAGGTTTTAACAAGCGCAGTATCTGTGTCCTATTCTAGTGCTTATCAATAAATCGTAGTGTATGCACAGGGAGAGTTAGGCCGGAGCGGTTGCTATGTCACAAATGGAGCAGTCACTGCGATGAAGGATAGAAAGCCCACCTAACGTGCCATACGATATAATATAAACGTCATCTAAACACCACAAGCTCGCACAAAGCTCGGACGGTACGAAGATCCGTGATTGTTGAGACCTAAATATCTTTCTGCTCACTGTTCTGCCGTGGTCTTCAATCAATCATGGACTATTCCAGAACTGCGCATGGAAGTAAATGTAGCAATGACTAGGTGGGAACCGGAAGAACGTCTGTCTAAAAGCATACCTTATGTAAAATGCTATTCCTACGACATCTACCTATTCCCCGTCTATGGGTAGCTCATAATGGACACCATCTCCCATGGACAGCCCAGTAGCCTAGGGCGGAGGAAAAGTGTCCAAGACCCGCCAGTGGCGGTGCTGAGGCCTAAGTACTTGATTCGTTGTATTAGACTATTTGCGGCACATTGTCTAATAATTCTGAAAACGCGACATCCGAGGGTCTTGTTCAACACTTTCCACTTGCTGTGTCACATGCAACCCTAAGCAATAAGAACCCGAGGTTGTCGAACGGCGTGGATGCTTAGTGGCGTTAATATTTAAGGAAGCCCAATCTCATTCCGATAGTATAATGTCGCTACTCACACCAGTCCCTGACGGTCAAGTCACCTGTTTTTCCCTCTAAGTTAGCTTTTGTGGCCGTTCAGTTTCTAACGCTGGGTTACTGGAGGAGAACTCTTTCTGATACTTGCAGTTATAATATATAGTTTATCCACCAGCCTCCATTATTTCGTATCTCACAAAGAGACTTCGACGACGATGTCACGGGATAATTTCCCTTCAATGCTATTTTTCGATGTCTTGGGGACAATTGTGGAATGGAGATTTTGTATCGCAGACGAACTCAATGCCACAGCACAAAAGGCTTTGCAAGATCAAGCTCGATGTCTGAGTGCCGATGTGCGAGCACATGTCTCTAGTATGCCCACTTCAAGCTGGCAGGAGATCGCTGAGGAGTGGCATCGCTCATATATGAACTTCGGAGACACTTACGATGCATCTAAGCCCTTTGTCTCAGTAGATGAGTACAACCGCATTTCTTTGGAGAGCATTCTCATCAAATGGCTTCTCCGGGATTTGTTTAACGATGACGATCTCAAAAGCTTAACTCTCGCTTGGCATCGACTCAACTCATACTCTGACAGTGTGCCAGGCCTTTCCTTGCTAAACACTGAGTTTCTGACGTCTACATTATCCAATGGTAATGTAAAGCTCCTCGAAGACCTACAAGAACACAATTCCTTGCCTTTTAAGCACATCACCAGTGCAGAGCATTTCGGTGCGTACAAGCCCTCGCCAGAGGTCTATCATGGTGCTGCTCGCAGGTTTGGCTTCAGGAACTCGCAATGCTGTCTCGTCGCAGCTCATCTTGAGGACTTGTATGCCGCCAAAAAATGTGGGTTCCAGACAATCTATGTCGAGAGAGAGCTGGAAGAGGCCTGGGATAGTACAGCCGTTGCACGAGCCAGGGACGAGGGGATTGTCGATCTTTGGATCGGCGTTGAAGGCTCAGGTCTGATTGAGGTTGCTCGTTACTTTGGAATAGAAAGTGGATGTTGAATGATCACCTGCCGGACACTGAATCCATTAAGCAAATTCAAGGCGCGAACTACATGACACAATAACCAGATACCCAGATACCTCAAATCAGTGAAGTGCATCTGCATTGCTATTTGAATACGTCTGGACAGTTTAAAGGCTCTTGCTACACCTATGAACTGGCGTGTTGTATTAAACGCCTCAAAACGACCTTCCTTCATCCCCATCGTCTTCGACCAAAACACCAGCAAGCCCGTCTATATTGCCAGCCCCCTTCCACTATAAGCCCCATTAGCGCCTATTGCATTGGATCAAAAGACCTTTCCATACCGAAGGGTCATCTGTTCAGCAGTTAATACACCCTGCTTGTCCGTACTCCTCATCCCCAACGGCGTCCAACCATTCCGTCGCTCCGTAGGTAATGGCCTCATGAACCAAAAAGCTTCCTTCCTCCGCTCCATGCCAATGAGTAACTCCTGGAGGACACCAAACAATATCGCCAACTCTCAAATGCTGGGGACTACCCCCTTTATCGCAAACCCATCCCGATCCAGCAATGACACGTAGTAGTTGTCCTCTTGCGTGAGTGTGCCAATGAGTTCGTGCGGAAGTTGTAAACAAAACATCGCCAATCCAGGTGTATCACGCTATTCTGTAGAATGCAACTCGCTTACAGTGGGCCAATGTCACTACGTGATATTATAGATTAGGTACACACTTCATCCATTCAGTTAACGCGAATCCCAACCTAAAGCGTCTTACTTTGATTTGTTTCTTTGGCTAACTGCAAGAACTGCCAGATAATTGAGTATGAGTGTATCAGAACATATGCTTTGATCAGTTACAAGGATTTCTGCCCTTTAGACTTATTCAAATCGATGAATTCCGAGTTTCTTCATGTAATATGTAAAGAAACCCATCCGAACATCCCAAGTGGTTGTACAACGTCTCTGCATTCTCAAGAAGCACGCGATTGTGGAGAACCTACGCAGCTTCTTGGCATTCACATAATCCGTTTCGAGGATAGGAGAATTAAATCGGTGCCATGCAGTGGCTGCTGACATGTGCTATGAGATCGACATAGCCTTGTCTTCTTATGACTACTTCGACAGCATAAAACTATCTCCCAAGCCCAAACCCAAGAATCCACGCTTGGGACCTTAACCGTTCTAATGCCAGTCACTGACACCAGGAAGTTTTGGCAGCTTGATGACGAGACGAAAGGGAGGCAAAAGACAAGAAATACGAAAATGAAAAGGGACACTCAATATGAGAGTACGGTCACCTGTGGCCTAACTGTTGGTCCCTACTGGTCAATTGGGGAGTCGGCAGCGATCTGTACTTTATAGTACTACATCACACAGGCTTGGCAACCTGGCTGAAGAGATAATCTTAATCTGGTGTTCCTGGGGTTTGATTCTAGTTCACGGTGAACGAGTGTACCATATAAGCCTGCTGGCAACCATAATGACCGCTTTATCAGAATGTTAAGAAACAGTCACAACCTTTCGTCTTAATTCTTTTGTCATGATTCTAATCTGCTCTCAAGTATTTAAACTTATGCTGCAGTACGCGCAATTTGCTAAAATAAGGGTCTTTGTCGGCATAAGTCCCTCTCAACCATCTTGGTTTTCCAATCTCAGCCATGTCAAAAGCCCTCCTGGAGTGTAATATCCTTGTATTGCTGAATAATACACACTCCCCGGGCCTCATCTTTCGCTCGTAAAGGCACTCTGGGTGCTGCAATGGACCACTGAACTTCGAAGCAGCCTGGTGCCACCGATCAACCTTGTTCTTCAATGCTGACAGAGCAGGGTCGGCAAGTTGTTCCTGTTGCCTGGGAACCTCATGGATTGAGAACGGTGCTAGAAATGGAGGACGCCAGTTTATTTTGTCCATGCAGTCCACCAGCATAGCCACTGTCCATCCAGATCCCCCATTCCGCATACTAAGTTCATGCCAATCCTTGATGTAATCTTGAATACCAGTGTAAATTGTATGGCCGATGCCAAGGGGACGAAGATCAATGACTGGCTTGGTGGTACGATACATATTGGAATGTGGATGATTATAGTGGTAGTTCACGGGGACTGTCGCAAGGGTGTTGAATGCGTCCACGTCCATGTGAAAGAAGTCCACTGCGGCCTTGAAGGCATCTGCGAATACGCTAGCCCCCCCTGAGGAAGCAGATTGAACACAATGTAGAAGTTGGATGTGTAGTGGTTGCTCGAAGTACAATAGGTCTGTGTGGAAACCTAGATCATTGGACATCTATGCGGCGTTAATCGCGTCTGGAACAGTGCAGACTGCCACGGGCGTTGGCTGAGTTTGAACTATGAAAGGTAGTTAGACAGCCCTACCGTCCCACGTATAGCCATAGAACGTATCCTTCACTGGTCCGATACGGGTTGCGATAGAAGCTAAAGATTCCTCTTTACCAGGAACGTTTGTTACGAAAGCCAGCCCCTCGGCCTCGAGCTGATTAATTATTTGATGAAGCGTTCCATCGTTCTGCATGTAGGTATTGTAGTCGTAGTCTACCAGGTTAGGAGGTTCTTGACCCCACAAAGCTGGAGGCCGAAAAGAGTCCCTTTGCTGCCCAGGAAGGGAGCCGGAGCAGCTGAGTTGTCGTAACGCTGCCATGCTCAACGTTGTTGTGTGCTCTTCAGGAAAGCCGGGTATATCATTCTTCCATCCGATGTTCACCGAATCTGAGGCAGGATCGATCTCTACAGCTTGGGATTGAATACCGGCCGGTATGTCGGCAGTTGAAAACAGCCTCTGTTTGGTCGACTCGTGCACGCACAATGGGCACGAACATGCATCACGTAGGAGGACCGCCAAAAATTCGGCTTTCTTCCCAGCAATCAATATGGGCACTTTGGACGAAGCTTGTTTAGAGGATAATTCCGGCTGGGTCGTTCCTTCTGCTGCAGCTGCATTGTTGATACTCCTCGGGGAGTACGAACGATGGGTAGGTGTGCCGTTTACTGTGCTTGGTTTTCTCAGCAATTGCTTTGACATTACATGTTAGCTTGGTGTTGATCCAAAGAATGCAGAGGCAATCGTGTACACACATTCGTAGCAATCGCACTAAGATCCCTAGCTGTCCAGGGTGACAGATATGGTGTGTTTGACAGCAATCGTTTAAAAGAGAAGCGTACAGGTGCAACGTGGATCGACTTGACGATCGCTAGCTTTCGTGTGATTTGCATTTTGGGATCTTTTTCCGGATAATGATAGATTGATCGATCGAACAGAGGGTTGTTATGATGCTGAGCTACGCTGGACACTATAAATACTAGACAGTACACTGTATTCTGCTATGCGGTATAGATCAACTATCAGATCAGGATGTCTGAGTGCACTAACGCTTTTTTGTATAATTTGTACGATTCCCCGCTCCAGAATCGTTAACCTAGTGCTTTGGGCATTCTTGACAACGATATAGCCATCCAGGGTTTGTGTCATTTGATACAAAGGAGATTATTAATAGGTGTTGTGTTATTATCGTCGTCCAGCAGGCGTTCTAACAAATTGACAGCCGAGATGTCCTTCGTACGGACTTAGATATGTCGGAAGTTTATGGTGACATGTCAAGAGTTAGAAGAAGTCGGGCATAATACTCTGAAATTTTCTGTAGCAGCAGATGTTGTAGACAAATTTTTTTTTCCCTGTTAACCCTCTTGAAGTCTAATAGATTGGATAGATACTGATACAGGGGCAATTTATTAGGTGCATAGCTGGGAGAAAGACTGAAACACAGTGTAGCTGTATTACAACAGCTCAATTGCCAGGTCAGTATTCCGGAAATGCCCTTCGGTGCTTTGTTTCCTCGCACCCAGAGTTTCAATACAGAACTTAAGGAATCAAGCCCTGGTTGCGGTCGTCTTTATAGGCTTGCCAATATCTTATGAAGCCTTTTAGCTCAGCGAAGAGCTTCTCAATTGGATTTAAATCTGGCAAGTATAGAGGTAAATATATAAGCTTAGTCCCTGCTTGTGTGCATAATTGTTCTATTCTCTTAGAGTGGTGAAAGGTGATGTCATCCATAACAAGAACAGATTTTGGCTCTGGGTGTTTTCCATAGTGTTAAAGAAGTTGTTTAATAAAGTCTTGAAAGATAGAGGCGTTAGTTGAGCCTTGTAAGACACGGGACAAGACAACTCCATCTTGAGCATAGGCTAGAAGAATCTGGTACCGTTGATCACAATGGAATTTGGCCACTTGGGAGGGTCTGCTGCCAAGAGGAGACCAGCCGGTTCTTCCAAAGCCTATCCTTTTTATCACATCCAGATTCATCCATATAAACAAGATGATATGAGCAAAAATCAGAAATAAAATAAGAGTATGCATCTTGTAGATCTACATTTTATTCTCTTGCATTCTGCTTTACAGATTCCTTTAACTACTCTATACCCTAGTGCGTGGTGCACCCTACCGTCGTCCCATTTACGCGCCCGCTGATTCGTCCATTCTCGATGTTCCGCGGTGTGTACTCCTGCTCAGATAGTGTATATATTTATTAATTTATATAGCTATATTATTTTTTAATATAGAAGCTCTTTATTTCTATATCTAGTTTCTTTCTTCTCGATTTCTAAGTTGTATTTCTTTTTTATTAATAATAAGATAATCTATTAATATTCTATATAATACGAGTACCATCTTTTATAATATCTATATATTATTTTCTAATAAGTAGAAAATCAGTATATAAAATTATTAATTTTATACTAGGGTATAGGGCTCGCTGCACCCCGCACTAGGGTATAGGCAGCATGATGTGGGGTTCCACGCAAAAGAAACACGATCCATTGTTTAACTTGCAGTTCATTATTCCCTCCTCTATCCGGACCTATCTTGAGTATATTTCATGTTGAGCAGTTGCAAGTCTATTGTCCAAAGTTTAGGATGACCTTCCCGATTTGCTTACCCTGCCAGACGAACTCAATAGCCTCTTCCGACTTTTCAAATGGCCACACCGAGTCAATAATATCTTCAAAAGTCATCTCCGTAGCTGAGATAGCTGCCATGAGATCATCCTGGTCGTGTTTGGAGCCACCGTTGATGCCCCTAGTATAATGGTCAGCTCCCTCCAAGAGTTCCCTACACCTCCATAAGATACTACACACCTGATGTTCACTCTTCGATCGATGACGGTGGAAACAAACTCCTTTAACTGTTCCGGCTTAGGTCCACCAAGGTAGCCCACCTGGCTAACAGTACCGCCACGCCGGGTACATAGCATACTTTGAACTAATGAGCTGCTTCCGCCATTCTCAACAACAAGATCGACACCGATGCCGTTGGTAAGTCTCAAGACCTCTTTGTGCCAATCCGGCTGAGTCCTGTAGTTGATAGTCTGGATCTCAGGCTTGCCAAACTGATCCTTAATCTTGTTCAGCTTCTCATCACTTGAAGAGGTTAGGAAAATCTTAAGACCCGACGCTCGGGCAAGCTTAAGCGCAAATGTTGCAACTCCTCCCGTACCTTGCAGAATATTCAGCAAATACACATATCAGAATAACGAATAAGCTCACCCTGGATCAGAACGGTTTGTCCGATGGAAACGCCCTTGAGCGCGGACCAGGCTGTTGTTCCCGCACAGGGAATGATGCTCGCTTGAACCCAGTCGAGATGTGTGGGTATCTTCGTCACAAGCTTCTCATCGAAAACTAGATGCGTTGCAAGTGTGCCATCTTCGTTTGCTGCGAGCCAGGATCGCCCAGTCGAGCGAGCGCTGACAAATTCCGTGTCGGTGATTGGCGCTACTCGATCTCCAATAGATACCAGCGACACCCTCTCCCCCACAGCAATAATTTCTCCGGCCGCATCATTTCCAGGCACCCCATGGGGTATCACCGGCCAAGGATTGCCACCATTGGCGATATTGGCATCACGGTAATTCAGCGACACAGCGTGGACCTTAATCAAAACCGCGGTTGGGTGGAGAGGTAATGGCAGATCTTCTCTCACAAGTTTCACTTTGGGCGTTCCAGGTGTGTGATCGTCAGTTCTGCGGAAGACCTGGCGGAAAGTAACATGGGCCATCGTTACGGTAAATCTTTCAAGTAGTATGCTGTTTGTATATTTTGCTGTTTCTGCAGTGGATATGATGGTCACTCTTCGACAACCTTCGGCTGGACCACCCTTATTATATATTGACAGCACATCCTCAACCATACCGGAGCTCGTATTCTTTCATCCTTGACACTTAACTTACGGAACCTTAGGAGACAACACGAAGGGACCGGGTTTCTCGGGACGGGTTTCTCGGGACAGGTTCCTCGGGACGGGTTCCTCGGGGCGGGGTACTTCCAGGAGATATATGACGTAATCAAGAGGGCGCGAGCGGTTGGAACTGAACCACTCCAAACACCATAGTAACAGTCACCATAGGCGGCATGTTGGAAGCCTTAAGCCTAAGGCTGAACCACCCCTGCGAATCAGCTGGAGCTCAACTTAACTTCGCCCATCAAACACACTTTTATTACTATATTGAATATAACAACAACATGGCCTAATAAACCCTATATAGTGGCCATTCAGGATCAAACAAAGGTGGAGGATAGTCAGGATTCAATAGAGTTGATTTGTATAGCGTTGGTGTGGTGGTAGAAGCACCCAATGGAGCTGTGTTCCTGGTATGCATACCATTATCCTTCTTTTTACCTTTGATATTGCCTTTATTATTATTGCGTTCGTAAGCATAACGAGCAGAATCCTTGGCAGTATGAGCACCAAATTTCCCTATTTGCTTTTGAGATTTGCGTACAGTAGCGGATCTTTTAGGTGATTGTTTTCCAATGTTATCAATTAATAACCGATATCCTCGGTAAGGCGGACGTACGAACGGCCTACACGTTCAATTTGATAGCGTATATCACCTGGAATACTTTCATAACGAACCAGATTGGCTGATTTATCGCGTGTTCGGTATGTATTATATGCTGATTTAGGAGAGCTGCTTTATCAATTTTTAAAATATCTCATATTTATTCACTAGAGTGTTTGGGATGTGCCGCTTGGCTGTGAATTACCTTACATGAAGGTGTAAGCTAGTAACTTACTCATAATGTTCATGGTACGAAAACTGTGCGCCGCGCATGTCGACTTTCCATATACAGGCCATATACACAGCTGAAAACCTGAACATAATCGATTACTTCACAATTCCAAGACAAGGAACTTCCAAGCAACTGAGCTTTGAATCGAAGCTAATTAGAGGAGCCGTTCAACCTGGAAAGCGAGTACCAAAGGAACTGGGTTACATTGCGAACTACGTTGGTCTGATAAATAGAGTGGGCAAATAGGCAAATCTCAGCTGTAGGTAATATTCACGAGTGACCCCTAGCTAGATCTGGCTTTCAGTAGCCATGAAGGGGGATCTCCAGTAGTCTTCCCAATACACGCAGCATTAACGCACATCTCCAAACTACCAAAAGCAAACTGCCGGCCTGTCAACCCAGGACCATAGTGAATATATTTGCCGGAGTTGGTCATGATCGCCCGAGTATTCTTCGGAATAACAGGTTCCTCAATAGAACACCAGCAGGTGTCTTGCAGGAACTGGACTCCGAAAGCCTCAAGCTCCCCCACGTAGCCCGCTTGCGAGGCAAGGCCGTACTGAGAACGGCCACAGGTGACTATCACAGCTACGTCCTTTTTTTTAATTCGTCCTAGGCACAGTTTCGACAACTCCTTTATCTCATTGTAGGAGAAATGCGGGTTGCCAAACGAGATAAGGTCAATTTCGCGAGGCTCAGAGCCATGGTTGAACTCATCCCAGATAGCGTCCAGCTCCTTCCAGCCAACATCAAGTACTTCAGGGACTATACCCTTGGCGCAAACTGCTTCGAGAGTAGGAGCCTCTGGTGTAAGGCTGACCATATGGAACATAGAAGCGCTGGAGGATGTAGCAAAAGCTGCTGAGAATGCTTTGAAGTTGTCCTTACTCGGCTTCAGATGTTCTAGTCCAGAAATGACCGGAATACGAGTATTTGCGATAGACCCAAGAGCATAACCTAGGATAGGCCAAAATGAATCGTCAGTATCTTCAGGTGGTGTTACTCTTAGCCATATCGACGCAAAGCGATTTTCATCCAAATAGGGTCCTGCCTTCGGTGCGCGCCCAGTCAAGGCTATCAAAACCTCAAACATGTTAGGATTCTTTAGAGTCCTCGCACCCAATACACTGTTTGCATAGATAACAGCATTCGACTCTCCCCAAGCGATTGGATCACCTAGTTTCGGTGCAGTCTCAAGTAAATAGGGTGCACATGTAAATGAAATCTTGCCCCCCATATCGACAAAGGCCTTAGCTAACTCATCGCAGGCTGATCCAAATTCTGTGTTGATTCCAAGTGCCCGCCAGCGCTTTTGATCGACATTTAGTGAGTTGATAGTTGTAGGGACTTGGAATTTGCCACCCCAGTCGCGAAGTCTCTGTGCAAAGGTAACTGAGCCAGGGCCGTACCAAGCACCATCTACATGGGCTTGGCAGATATCTATCAGCTCTTGAGCCCCCATCATACTCGCCATTTTGATAATTATTCTCAATGAGATCGTGGCCGCCTCGCCGCTGGCTCCTCGTAGCATCGCCCGATCGGTTTCGGTAAGTTGAATATTGTAAGAATTAAGGTCAAAAGAAGGCTTCGCAGCTCCAATAGCAGTATTGGCCTCCAGGGGGGTATTCGAAACCAGGTCACCCTGGATATGAACAGTCTTCCCATTCCAGCCCAGAACTTCACGGAAATCTTCTGGGCTCAGTGTAACCACAGCGGCTGTCCTGTCAAACAGTTCTTCAGCAACTATGACCCCCAGCGTGATAATTTCCTCGCGACGCGCAAAAATCAGTCCCTTAGGCCCTAAGCCATTGAGGATCAGCTCCATCATGATGACACTGCCGCCACATGATCCTCTGCCTCCGGGGATTGCCAAGATAGTGTCTTTCAAAAAACACCCGCTCAGAGGGTGAAAACGATCGATAACCTCCCCCGTTCGTGGATCAACACCGCCCCAAAAACTCAACTCAAGATCAGTTGCCAACAACGTGGCCGAGGCGGCACCAGTAACATACGGAGTGCCGCGAAAAGTGCATTGTTCTGATAGAGACATATTTGTCAAGTCAAGTGCGTGTGCCGCACAGTGTAACAAAGCACGAGAAGGTTTAAAAAGGTAATATTGTGTTGAGGCGAAGCAAAGAAGATGTGTGAGGAAGGCGGAACAGGCTATATAGGGGTTTGGAAGAAACCCCCTGGTGGTAGAAACAAGGCGGATACTCGGTGCCGATGTACACAAGATGACATGCTGTGTCGGATTCATCGGGAGAACTGAGTCTACAGCCGCAACTCACGCGGTGGTGTGGGACCAATCAAGTAGTTCTTTATTAATGTTGAAAATACTAATTATTTTTATCCAGTTCAGTTCGCAGTTTGAAACAGTTGGCTCTGTCGGGAGCACCCTGTTCAATAACATAACTCGACCCACACACACAACGGGGGGACGGGGATGTGCCGAGGCCAGGTTAGTTGGAGGGCGACAAATCGGCAGCACCTTCCGCCAAAACTCTTGAATCACTGGCCTTAAGGTACTATATAGAGGTCTTTTCCTAGCTATAGACCACGCAGACGCAGGTTAGCAAATACTTTTTATTATTTGAAGCGTTGGAGCCTGGGCCTTGTAAAGCTGGGTCTATGCCCCCTAGCTCTGCGGGATTTCCGCCGTGGCAGCGGATTTAGAAATGAATGATTCCAACGACGTACTTATCGAACCAGTTTCAGTCTGATCAGCTTTCACGACCTTGAATGTCTAGAGATGGCCACGGAATAGCCTTTAAATGGAATCAAAGAGAGATTTGACCCAGCTTTCCGCAATAAATATGTAGCCGAGAAGCCAAAATTACAGTTTACATCTCGGAAGAAGAAACCGATCACGTCTTGCCCTTGCTTTACCAAGCAAAGCTTCATAACAGACCTGGAGTAAGAGTTACCCGAATAAACAACCCGAACCCCGTCCTTGGACCCCAATCGGTCTTCTAGATTCCATAAAGTTCAGTTCAAGCCAAACACGGAGGTAGGTCGGTAAAGTCAAAACCCCGCACTTAATCTTGTGGATTAAGGCTAATGATCTGCGTTTGAAAGGCTATGGATATGTTCAACCAGCCTTGATTCCGATTTGACGTGGGGCGAAGACCAATTTGTATACTGTGATATGACCGGTCGCTATGAATTCTCTCAACTTATACCCCACCAGCGAGCTATTCTTGGGCACACTGGTAGAAGAACTTGTCGTCTGGTGAGATCAATATGGACTTCTCTCGTCGAAATCAAACATGACGTTGCCGAGAAAAGCGAAAAAGGTGACCTCTCCCCTGGAGACATCAATAAGGGACAGGCATAGGAAGCAGGTGCAGTTCTACACCGCCGACTTCGCCATATCCAGCTCGTGGCATTGGCGGGACAACTGGTACCCCTCTCTTTATTGCTATTGGGAAGCGGCCTGTACAAAGGAGGGCCAGCCAGTTTACTAATCGCCTTCGCTATCGAGTCTCTGATGGTCGGCATGCTGAACAACTGCCTTGCGGAGAGGACAACCTGTATGCCAGTCAGCGGTGGCTTTGTCAGATTGGCTGTCAAGTGGGTCGACGAGGCCTGGGGCTTCATGTCTGGTTAGAACTTTTTCATCTACATAGCGCTCACTGTACCCTTCGAAATTTCTGCGGTCAACTTGCTCCTGGAGTATAGGCGAGATGCCATTCCTGTTGCTGCAGTGGGCATGGTTTGTATCGCGGTATACGCACCCGGCGCGGAAAGTACGTGACAATATATCCGCGCGCCCGCACCTGTATTGCCTATCTTCTTTCTTCAGAAAGTAGTTGGGTTCGACGCGCTAAAAGTTGACATCGACGCGCTAGTCTGCCTCAGGCAGCTTGGACAGGTGGAATATGGCCCGTGCCCCAAACTCCACGTCCATGATACACTTGTATTCTTCTTACCACTTTTTTATTTTCGATACCTTTACCATCGGTCTGTACAAAACATCTTATAAAAGAAAACAGTGCATCAAAGCTAGTTTGAAACTACTTGGTAGGCTATTTATAGTAGTATAACTGCTTGTAAAGTACTTATTAAGTAATAAAGATGAATAGTCTGAATGATTCTATGATTAATTTTACTGACTAGTGTGATAATGTAGTGCATACGATGTAACTATATATATTTATACAGGCTACACAATTCTCACAAAACTACTTGGTAACTACTTTTAAAGTACTTGGAAACTGATTAATAATGAACTAGTCTTCATTTTTTAACTCTAACTCACATAACTCTCGCTCTTTCTTTCTGATTTCAATCTGCTTTGCAAGTAATTCATCCTTGAGTTTCTGGATTTTTAACTCCTCCTCTAGTCTCTGCATCTCAGTACTCTGAGATTGTTCAAATGAATTAGTAGTAGCAACTCTTTGGAGACTGGCCTGAGAAGTACTAGAAAAGTAATATATAAGTACTTTATAAGTAATTTTTAAGTACTTAAATAAGGATCAAATGATCTTTTTGATCAAAAAGCAGATCATCAACCAACTATCTGATTATCAGAACCGGGGGCTCGGAACATCAAAATCAACACTCAATCTAAACACGTCATTTTAACGCGTCAATCGATCGAGAAAGGCCCCCTGAGGCCCCAGGAACCGCTATGGAGGTCCCAAACCCCCATAGTGGTGGTCTACCGAGCGCGTCGAGGTGGGCACCCCTAAACGACGTGCCACCACCATCACCACCATCACCAACACCGATATATCGCGGGGGCCCTAGGGTCTTAGATATGCCTATAAACCTGGAGCAGATAAGCAGCAGCGAATCTAGCAGAGCCCCAAGTAGGGCCAGCTCTAAAAGCAGCAGAACTACACAGAGCGCTCAAAGCAGCCGAAAGCGGGGAGAACGAGA